CTGTCCGAATCTGCTAGATGCGTTTCTTAAAGGCATGCACAAATTGGTGCCTCATTTAACAGAAGTGATTTCAATTCTGGGTGGTGCGTTTTATATCCATTAATATTCCATTGCACTATAGAACACATTGTGGGAAAAATAAGTGGAACTATAAGTAAAAGGTGTATATATATATAACAACAAGTAGGAAAATAATGGGCAAAATCCGCAAAAAGGTGGAAAGTGGATTCGAGCAAAAAATAGGATAGGTAACCCGAGCGATACGTATTTCTGCTGGTTGGCTTCATCAGGCCCGAAATGAATGCACATATGAAACTACAAAAGTAGATACACATGCCCACACATCCGGATACGGGTGTAACCTGAGGAAACGAAGTTGGAGGGAAAAAAAAAGAAAAAAAACGACACACGAAGTCCACAACAAGAGCCAACCTACACATTGTAGTATAAAATGGCTATACGACCTCGAATTTTCAAGGAGACGTCTAACCACAACCACGCGGCCGGTTGGTTGTGGTTAGACGTTTCCTCAGGTTACACCCGTATCCGGATGTGTGGGCATGAGTATCTACTTTTGTAGTTTCATATGTGCATTCATTTCGGGCCTGATGAAGCCAACCAGCGGAAATACGTATCGCTCGGGTTACCTATCCTATTTTCTGCTCGAATCCACTTTCCTCCTTTTTGCGGATTTTGCCCATTATTTTCCTACTTGTTATATAACTTTCTCCGCATGATCATATTCTCTATATTATATATATATACAGGGTTATCCAAATTAAGTGTCCACCATTAGTAACTTTGTTATTAGTGAAAATACAAAGTTGTTTGAATTAGCAAACTAGTAGCATTTTTAACGCTGGTAAAAATGAGAAATAAAAAAAAACAATTGAGAGTCGTTATTTTGATTTTTTTCAGTAAAATAACATTTTTTTAAATGGAAACCCCTGTATATTATATTTTTTTCTGTTAAAGCATCAAATTTTAAACAAAAAAGCTTACAATAACTTTTCTCCTAGGTTACAAATTGTTGAAGTTATGACCTCCAATCTGAAACAATTAAATTGTATCGACAAACTTTATTTTCAACATCAACTTATAATCTTACAAAATACAATAACAATTTTTTTTAAAGAAGATGCTCGAAAACACCACCTTGTTCTTCAATACATTTTTGGGCACGTTTTTCAACTGCTCGAACTGTCTTAAGTATGGTCCTACCATCTATCTGGGTTATCTTTTCCCTAACTGCAGTCTTTAACGCGTCAAGGTTATCGTACCTTCGCTTGTAAATTTGGTTCTTTAAGTAACCCCACAAGAAGTAATCAAGTGGGTTTAGATCTGGTGATCTGGGAGGCCACTGTATTGGGCCATTTGTTCCTATCCACTGATCATTAAAAGTAGTAGTTAGAAAATGATAAGTACCTCTGGAGTTGTGGGCAGGTGCGCCATCTTGCTGAAAATGCAGATGATGTCTACTTATAAGATCCAATTCGTCTAAGAAATTAGTCAGAATTTCTGACATAAATTCCACATATCTTTCACCAGTTAGGGTTCCCTCATAAAAGAACGGGCCTCGGGCCAACAATTTTTGAACCAATTATACCGCACCAAACGTTGAAACTGAAACGGACTTGTGGGCCTCTTGGATGTACTAACAAAAGATTTTCTCTTGACCAATAATGGTGGTTTTTTCTATTAAACATTCCAGAATTTGAAAAATTTGATTCATCTGTCCATAAAAGGTAACGAAAGTTATTTACATCTTGGCGACAGAAGCTAAGATACCAATGGCAAAAAACAAGTCTTCTCTCTGGATCCCCTGCCAAAAGCGTTTGAACTGGTCGGTACTTATACGGAATAAATTTGTATTTTTTTAAAATCCTTTGAACAGTACCATAACTGAAATTAGAGTCCTTGAGAATATCTGCTATTGAATTCTCACGATAAGCTTCAAAATATCCAATAACTGCAATTTCCGTGGCCTCGCTTATTATGAATTCTTTTTTTGCCCTTGTTTTAGCAAAAACATTTTCGTTGCCCCTAAATTTTCGATAAAGTCTCAGAAAATATCGTTCATACGGTTGAATGCGAGCGGGATATAATTCACTGTAGTATTCTCTTGCTCTCAAGGAGGATTTTCTGCACACTAAATAGCATTCTAACATATCACACTTTTCTTCATGGGAGAATATTTTTCTTTAAATTAATGACACAATAAAGCTTATAAACAAGTATTTACACTAATGTTTGACATTATTTGATTTTATCATTGTTTTCCAAAGCCTTCTAGTTGCGAGTATGTCCAGTTTAACAATTTGTCGCTTATCTTAATGCTGTCAAATTGCGAACGCCATGTTGTTTTCATAGCCGTCTTAATATTATAATACTGCAAATAATTAAAAATATTTATCGTTATTTTGACTTTATTTTTGACTTTAGCGGAAAAGTCATTATGAACTTTTTTGTTTAAAATTTGATGCTTTAACAGAAAAAAATATAATATACAGGGGTTTCCATTTAAAAAAATGTTATTTTACTGAAAAAAATCAAAATAACGACTCTCAATTGTTTTTTTTTATTTCTCATTTTTACCAGCGTTAAAAATGCTACTAGTTTGCTAATTCAAACAACTTTGTATTTTCACTAATAACAAAGTTACTAATGGTGGACACTTAATTTGGATAACCCTGTATATATATATGAGTATAAAAAGATATAAATATAACTATGTATAAAAAATATGGATAAAAAATGCATTTTGCAAAGTAATATCACAGAAGTCATCGTTACGTAATGCTAGTTGAGATCAATTACATCGGAACTAAACGTCTTATCATCTGGAGGCTTTCTGGGTTTTCCCTTCGGCCACCCCTTTTTTTTCTTAGCAAGTGAGGATGTTCCGCTGGCTTGTGACGAAAAGCTTTCGTCAGTATCGTCTGCGGGATCATCCGCATTATCCTTTTGGATAACAGTACGTTTCCTCTTTTCTGAAAGAGATGGTAGAGTAGACGTATCAGATAAGTATTGGTTAGGAGGAGGTAAATTTAAAGGTGTCAATGTCCGTACTGGTCTATTTACAAATTTATCAAAGGTTTGTTTAATCTGTGTTTCTATCGTTTTTGAAAGCAGAGGAAGAAGTTCTTCAACAAGTTTATTAACCGGAGCACTTGGGGTAGCGGTAACTTGAGCGTATGACATCCGGGGAGATGAGTTAATTACTTTCCTTTTTGCCTCCAGATAACTAATTTTTTCTAGCGTCCTCACTCTTTGGATGGCAACTTCTTCCTTCATCCGCGGACATGCTCTAGAATCAGCAGCATGCTGTCCTTCACAGTTGATACATTTCTTATGTTCATTGCACGGCTCTCCTGGGTGATTGGGTTGACCACAAGTACACATTTCGGTATTAGGACATTTCTGGGATGTATGACCAAATTTCTGGCATTTGAAACACCGCAAAGGGCTTGGGTAATAAGGGCGATCATCAAGGTGGTAGAAGGCAGCTTTAATTTTATTAGGTAAATTAGGTCTATCAAAAGTGAGAATGAGATTTGGTGTTTCTATAAGTTCCTCACCTCTTCTACGCATCATACGTTTTACGTCAATAACTCCTTCTGTTTTCAGGCCGTCCAATATTTCCTCCAAAGTGGAGTTCAAAAGATCAGCACAAGTAATAATTCCTTTGGAGTAATTAAGCGTGGAATGCGCTTTAACTACAACATTGTAATCTCCAACTCTTTGTGTTTGCAAAAGTCTGTTTGCCTGGGCTGCGGTACTGGTTTCCAACAGTAGCCCAGGTTTGATTTTCTTTATTAATTTCAGGTTCCCAGCAATTCCAAATAATGTTCTTGACACAACAAAGGGACTTACTTTATCAAAGTTACCCCCATCAATCCGTTTGACCACCAGAAACCGGGGAATGGTTCCCTCCTTTCTATTGACTGGCCGTGGCCGCTTGCGCGGTAGCTTTCCCATTTCTGGGTGGGTTTTTGGTTTGTATTTCATCCATGCGAATTTCAAAATGCTTCACCTTCCCAGCTCCCCACCCGCCACGGAGTCCTCATTGGGGATGCCATGCCTGCAAACATAGTTCGGGACATGGACACCAGGGCTGCTGAAGGGGGTTACCCTTATGGAAAGTATAGTGTTCGCATTGCGGTCCGGCATGGCCAAGGGTAGAAATAATCCACGCCTGTCTGCTTTCAACGCAATGCGAAGGCTCGCCCAGCCAGCCCTCTGACGGGATGGCACAGCCGATTGACCGACGCTGGGCTAGGCGCGGCCGCCCTTCTAGACTGACCGCCGGACCAAAGTGGCGTGTTGCCCCCCTGACTGGTAGGGCTCAACCACCAGGATTCCATTGGCCAGCTTACGGGTCGCCGGGCACGGCACAAACACCCGGGAGGCTAAGAGGAAGCCCCACGCGCCGCCTCAACGCATGGAGTAAGGAAAGGACAAGGAAAGTCGGGAGGGCAGCGTACAGCTACACAGGATATAATAAAAGGAGAAGGATGGGAGAAAGGGGAAGGGAAAGCCCAGGGTTTGGCAGAATGAATAAGACTACCAAACCCCGAACTCCCTGCCTGGGGCCGTAGGGGCGACGCTCCCCATGTATCTTCCCTTGAAACCGGCTCAAAGGTCCAGCTTCAAAAGTAGATACCCCCTGCGGAGGATTATTACTATTATTATTATTATTATTATTATTATTATTATTATTATTATTATTATTGTTATTTATTACCATATGACAAAGGTGAAATTATTATAATCTCTAGTCATATCGCTGTGGTTGTATGATTATATGAGCATATAACAGTAATCATATGGTCACATAACCGTAGTCATATATACATATGACCACGCCAACCTTTGGCACGCTGTTTCAAATAGAAGCATTTCTGCGAACTTTGCGTCTACTAGATTTTTTCATCTGCACAACATGAACTGTGTGCATGGTAGTTGGTTATATAAATATTACATCAAGGCAACCATTTCAGTGAACCCAACCCAGTATGGCATTGGCAATGCCTTCAAGGTACCTGCCAGAAGCAACACTACAACGAAACCGTGAGCTCGTCGCCTCTAAGCCTCCCAACTTGCAGACTATCCTGCTCTGACGCCGCAGGGTTGTGGCCCAAACCTACTGGTGATGTCTCAGTGAGCAACATCTTCCAGAATGTTAATTTTAACAGCATCGACGTTGTGCCAAAACAGTCAAATTCACCATCATCTAAGTTGGTCAGAGAAGCTGGAAAAGTCTTTAAAGAACAAATTCAGGTGAGATGATCGGTAGATTGGTTAGTTGATTGATCGGTGTTTGTCCATTTATTTATTTTTTAATGTGTCTTGATCAAACACTGTTTGATTGCTGATTGGTTCTTGATATATTCTTGTTTGCTTTGTGCTTGATTTTTTTATTCTTCATTGATTACTTTTTGGTTATTGATTGATTCTGTTTGATTCTTGGGTAGGCTCTGATTGTTTCTTGATTAATTTTTGACCTAGTTTTTTAATTCTGAATTGACTATATGAATGATCATATGGTTGACTGACTGACTGATTGATTCGTTGATTGATTGACTGATTGGTTGATTGATTGATTGATTGGTAGGTTAAGTGACTTATTGAATATGACATCCATAACATACCTTTCAGGCTACGATTCCAAGAAGGTTCAATCCCAAAGGTGGAAAATCTCTATTAGTGGACGTAGATATTAAAAATCCAAGCTTCAGCAGACTAACATTAGACACGGATGAAAGCTACACGTTGAAATTATCTGAAACTAGTGATGGTAGATTAAATGCCTTAATTTCGGCTCAGACATTCTTCGGAGCAAGGCATGGTTTGCAGACGTTGAACCAGTTGATAGTCTTTGATGATTTGAAGGGAGAACTCTTGATTCCAAGGTAAGAACAGTAGGTAGTACCTCAAAATAATACATATTTCTTTTTGACTTTTGGCCCTAAATCTGTCGCATTTGACATTCAACATTTTGATTTCAGCCGTAGACCCTTGACCTCTCGTGTTTGCTGTCTCACATCTACACTTCTGCCATCTGGCAAATAACCTTTGATCATTTAACCGATAGCACTCGGCCGATAACCTTTAATCACTGGCCTTTTGCCATTAATCTTTGGCTGTTGACCTTTGTCCGATGACCTTTGACCTTTTTACTTTTGGCCGTTGGCCTTTGATGGTTGACCGTAGATCTTCGACCATTGATTTTTGCTTTTTTTATACCACGAAGGCCTGACTTAATGCCCATGGGTACCGTGGGGCTATAGGGGGATACCGGGGAAAGGGGGGAGGCCACACGGACTGAGAGAAGACGTGTACATGCAACATGCATACATTCTGGCACCGCCTAAGAGATCTGCCGGGTGGTACCTCCACCTTAAGCCGCTCTACTTTTATTTTTGTATTTATTTTGTTTCAGCGAGGCTCTGATAACTGACAAGCCTGCTTATCCATACAGAGGCATTGTTTTGGATACCTCTCGTAATTACATCACAATAGATGCGATCAAGAGGACTCTTGCAGGTATGGGAGCCTCAAAGTTGAATACATTCCATTGGCATATAACGGACTCCCATAGCTTCCCTTACGTTTCGAAATCTAGGCCAGAGCTCTCGAAGTATGGGGCATATTCTCCCAGTAAAGTATACACTGATGAGTAAGTACCACATTTTGAAGTTGGTATCATTAGCTTGTATGTAAGAAATACGAAGTTAAATGATTTTTTTTACTTCTAGAGACATCAAACAGATTATAAAGTACGCAACAGTTCGAGGAATTCGGGTTCTTCCAGAATTCGATGCCCCAGCGCATGTTGGTGAAGGATGGCAGAATACAGGGTTTGTCACTTGTCTAAACTGGCAACCGTGGCAAAGTTATTGCGTAGAGCCACCTTGTGGACAGCTAGACCCAACGAAAGATGGGGTATATGATGTTTTGGAAGGTAAGACCCACGGTGATTTGAAGAGTCCTCACCTTCAAAATTCAAATACACCAGTTAAAGTTTGTGGATATGTCCAAACAAATTTGCAACAAGTGCCATTACCCATGGATTCCTCCATCTTCAAAACTCCTCGACTAGTACCATCACTTCCCATCTCCGGATTGGACAGATATTTCTATCAAAAGCTTTCGTGACAACATTTCAAACTCGTTTGTAACTTCTTCTCATGAACGATATTCTTTGGCTTGTATGTTATAGATATCTATGGAGATATGATCGAGCAATTTCAACCAGACATATTTCACATGGGGGGAGATGAAGTAAACTTTCACTGTTGGAAGAGTACCCCAAACATTGCGGAATGGATGCAAAGGAAAGGTAAATGTTGAATAGGGCGGCAAATCTTCACCAAAAACAAATGCTTCATCTCAATTCTGTGGAGATTCTCTCAAGAGTTTCTCTATTAAGCTCCATTTGGCAATCTAATATCTTCACAGGTTTAAACGTTTCTGAAGAGAAGGACTTAGTACAGTTATGGAGGTACTTCCAAGATAACGCTCTTCAAAGGCTGGATAAAAAAGCTAAGAGGAATATTCCAGTGGTTATGTGGACTAGTCACCTTACTGATCCAGAATATTTGACCAACGCTCTGCCCAAGGACCGGTATGTCGACATTTGATCATGTTATATGTATAACAGCCATGACATAAAGCGGCCAAACACTATCTCACAATGGAGCTTATATAAATGGATGACCGGGTTATTTTTACCAAATTGTATCCTTGACTCCACCCGACGACATCGACTTACCCCGTTGGAGGGGTTTACCAAATAAACTTGCGGAATCTACTTTACCAGACTATATTCTTTAATATATCCGATGACATCGACCAGTCTGGTTCGATGTGTCAAATAAACTTGCGAATTTAAATTTACCAGACTATATCCAGAAATCCACTCTCGTTCCAGGTGTCTGCCTAATAAAATTTAAAACTTAATTTCCCCAGGATATATCATCCTCTATGAGCGTTCCCGTTTGGAGCCTATGGTCAGCATACAGCCATCTATGAGACATTGACATTTTCAAAGTTTACAAACATACACTGAGGACCAAGTTTGGCTGATGGGCGCTAGTTCAATGTGTACCAGAGAGAAGCTCAAGAAGTGTGTATCGGCACATATGCTAGAAAGAGATAGAAGCCGACAGGATAGCGAAGCTCATCGCCACTGTGACGCAGAAACCCGAGCAATATGCTACGTTGCCAATATGTGACACCAGCTCCTTGAATTGATATGCATACCGAAAATATGCGTTTATTCTGTACTCCCAAATAATAGTTTTATTTTGAGCGAACACGTTTTTGCATTGTGAATTGTGTTCAATCTGTTAAGGCTCTATTCCGGATCGGCAGTGATAATTTGTATTGCGTAACGTTGTTTGTAACATTTTCGGACCGCAGCGCTGTCTTAAAATTTAACAATAACTCAGGATGTGTTGATTTTATCATAATTGGTGAAAATCAAAGATATAAGAAATTAAGACACCAAGTTGCGTCAAAATTGAAATAAATAAATAATTTTAATCAAAATGAAAACAAAATAATAAATTAAATGTTGGAACAAACCTCCTTCTTCGATTTGACAGTAAGATAACCTATTGAAGAAGCCTGTGCGACCATTTTCTAGCATGATATGAGCAACCGCACGGCATGCTTCTACGTTTTCAGCTTCATCTCCTACAAAGTGGTAGTCCTTCCATGGGGGTAACAGTAAATGCAAGTCTTCACACATCCCCACAAAAGGAAATCATTAGGCGCCAAGGCAGGAGATCTCACTGGCCATTGCATGTTGCCATGTGTCGGGAAAAATTCTGACAATTCCCGAACCTCTCTCGCATTGTAAGCAGGACAGCCATCTTGTTGAGACCAAATATCATTAAGGTTGATACCCAGGCAGTTCCAAATAACGCAAGGAATTTAGTGTACCATTAATACGGAAAGGTCCAACAATGTGGTCCCCTAAAATACCGCCCGCCCCACCGAACATTAACTTTTTGGGGATACTGCGTCCTCAATAGTAAACTTGAATGTTTGTTTTCCCTTGAGCAATACCTAAGATTTTGGGGATTATGATATCCATGGAGAAAAAGGCTGGATTCGTCCGAAAACAATATGTTTCTGAGAAATCGGTCATCGTTGTCAATGATTTCTCATGGCATCCCAAAACTCCATTCTACTATGTGAAAAATCTCCTGCGTTTTTTTTTGTACAAGCCATGCTCCTTCAAAATACGCCTGACTGTAGGTACTGACCGGCAGGGGTATCATGTATCTTGAAAAGTGACGTTATATCCAATTTATTTGACATTATACTGTTTTTTTACATTATGTAGATTTTTCCACAAGATGTTAACTTATCACTTAGTTGTACGTGTTGCCTAAACGCTTGTTATCAATCTTTGTCTCTGATGTGATGTAAAATCTGCTTCTGAGATGGCATTACAGGAGGTCTAAGCTTTAAGTTGTATGTGTTGATGATAACTACATTGGGTTCTTGTCTCAAATACACTTAATTGAGATTCAAAGCGAGAAATTAGTTGCGCAGCCACTTTTTCTTATCCATTCTGGAAATTACATATACAATTTTGCTGAATTTCAAAAATGAGAGAGATAAGAAATAATTATATTCACTGTACACTGTCGAATTACAAGCCATATACATGCTAACAGTAATTACACACAACGCCGGCGCAGTGATGATTTCCTATAATTCTCCTCAGTTTTTCGTAATTTATAACTTTGAACATAACCTCTCTTCAGATAGCACAACATAAATGCGTGTAGTTTTGTTGAGTGATTCCTCGATAGATGGACGTTCACAACGATCCTAGTGAGCAAACGTGGAATGACTGTTTGCGCCCTAAAAACTACCTAGTTTGCAAGATGACATCTTATAGGTTTTTTTTTGACGTTTTGTAGGTTTTTTACATGATACCCGTGCGAAAGCAACTTTCGTCCATCATGTACCGGGTGTTTTAAATTGGACTCTCAGCATTGAGATCTCGGAAACGGTAAGAGTCACTTAAATGGGGGCAAAGTTGCGTATTAGAAAATGTTGAAGTTCAAAGTACTTCCCTAAAAACTATCTGGTTTGCAGCATGACATCTTATAGGTTTTTTGACGTTTTATAGGTTTTTTACATGATACCCATGCCGGACATCGACTTCTTGTGGTACGGTACTACTCGAACAAGATCGGAGCTCCTTTCTCTGAAGCGTCCCTTCGACATAACCATAAACAGCCTCGCCCCTGGCAACCTTGTCCTCTGGAACATTTTCTTCTTCATCATTCTCCCGTTGACAGGCTTCGTGTCGACAGGAGTTGATGCAACCACGATTGAGGAAGTTTCGGAAAATGCTTCTAACCGTGGTCGGACTAGGGCAAGGTTGGTCAGGGTACGTAAAGACAAACTGCGCAACGACAGCTTCTGTACTTGTGGCCTTACTGTACCATAGCATCAGATTCACTTTTTGTTCGCGAGTGTATGTGAAACTCATTGTTGAAATCTGTGACCTCCACTGACGGTTGCGTTTGAAGGAATGACCTTACAGTGGTGCCAAATGCAGGAAAGCCTATGCTGCTGTCGAGAGTAATTGATCTTAGAGGTCATTTGGAGGTCAACTTTGTAGTAGAAACCACTATTTTTGACAGCAGATTCATGTCGAGCTCGCGATTTTACATCAGAATGCATTTCCATACATGAGGTCAAGCGGTCATAAGTGGCACTATCAACATGACCTACTGTAACGTCTGCAAAGTACACGAACATCCCGAACACGTGGCAACCAAGTATTTTTTGGAACGAAGCTTTTTTAGAAAACTTCTACGATATCTAGAAAGCAACTTGTCGATCACCTCAAAGATGACCTAGACAATGACCTCAAAGGTTATTTAGAGGTAAAGTTTGTGAATTCAAATAATAACCACCATTTTTCACAGCAGATCCGTGTCGGGCTCGAGATTTCATATCAGGATTCATCTTCATAGATAAGGTACATTGAAATTTGCCTTAGAAGCCGTTTCCAAGGCGTGGGAACATTAGAGTCAATATACTTCTTTTTATTTTTCGAAAACTATAATGGTGACACGCAGTTGGTTACGAAATGTGAGCTCCTTGAATCCGTGCAACCGCCCGAACCCACGGTGGACAGATGACCCACGTAATATTCCATATTTAGCATGACTTCCCATACAACATACCCGTGTTCAACTACTTGTTGAAAAAAAGAAACGCTAGTAGCACTGGACTATCATGGAGGTGTAAACCTTGTCTGGTAATGTAATATTCAATTAAGTATAGGCGAACTTTGGTTTCGTTTCGATATTGCTTGTCCGATCATGCGATAATGGTGATCTACCAGTCTGTATCTTTTGTACGCACAAAAACCGATATAGGGAAAGCAGAATAAGGCATAGACTACATATACTTCATTTGTTTAGCTTTATTTTGTGTTCTTACCTGTTTTTTCGGTAAAACATATGTATCTATCCGAATAATTTCAAAAAATCGTGGAAAATGTGCACGTTTTCGGTATTTCCGTAAATAAGGTCTCATTCTGGTAGAAATACAGAAAAATCGGTATGTTCGGTAACATTGCCAAAATCGCTCATCTATGATCTATGGATGTGCAAACCTTGCCTTGGAATGTACAAGAAGCGGTGTTGTCAAACGAACCAATGATGCAATGTTGCAGAATCTGTGGCGATCTTGACCTTTCATTTTGACCTAAAATGGACCGCCGTTAGAACCGACCGGGAATCAGTCCTAAACAGATTCAACATAATCCGAAATTTAAAAATATGTACACTCAAATTAAAACCATTATTTGGGCGCAAAGAATAAACTAACGCATATTTTCAATATGCATCTTAATTCAAGGAACTGGTGTAACATATTGGCAACGCGGCAGATTGCACGACCTTTTACGTCACCGTTGCTTGGCAACGTAGTGATGAGCTGCGCTATCCAGCCGGCTTCTATCTCTTTCTAACATATATGCCAATACACACTTCTCGCTTCTTTCTCGTACTCATTGAACTGGCGCCGTGAGCCAAATTTGGTCCTCATAGTAAATAGAGAAAAAACTGTATCAAATTCTCATAGATGACGCTACGGTGGCTCATTTTATTTAGGATATTTTTTTGTCCGCGCATTAGGTTAGCTATGTCAGATACAATACGTTAATCAATGGTTTCATATCTTAAGTCCATAACAATATTGTGAAATTTCACCTGCGTATAATAATAAGGAATTTACGACTTTATAAATCATGTTAAGTCGCATACAATACAATACACTAGAAAAATAAAATATTCTAATTGCAAATGTCTCAAAACTAGTTATTTGATTAACAGATTATTTTAGAAAATACGTATTTGTATTTTAAACTTTCATCAAAATTTATCTCTTTATTTTAATACTTGATTGTTCTTTAAAACCAAAAGCGCATTTTCGCGAGACTTCAAAGTTGGAACAAATCAATACACAATTATAATAAGACTTTAACTTTTATTTTTAATGTGAGCGTAGTGGAACAACACCTTTATTTTTATATATGTTTTGTATTTCAGCGTGTTTTATCATACATTTGAAGTAGAAAGTGTTCTAAAATATTTAAGTTTAAAAATCGCATAGATGTGATTAACTGGAAATTCAAGATACTGTGCCGAAAACCCTCCTTTTAGACTTTGGTCCTTTGACATACATTTGTCTGGCTAGTACGAGTATATGAAGCATGAAATAAAAACAATCTTTATATTTTCACAGATACATAATACAAATCTGGACAACTGGAACCGATGCACAGGTCGGAACTCTCCTTGAGAATGGATACAAAGTAATTTTAAGTAACTACGATGCTTTGTACTTTGACTGTGGGTTTGCGGGGTGGGTTACCAGTGGAAACAACTGGTGTTCACCATACATTGGCTGGCAGAAGGTCTACAGTAATACCCCTGAGAAGATTGCAGGTAAATGAATTTCTTAAACAAACTATGTCTAGTCCAACGGATTCAGACTAGGTTATAGAAGGGGCTAGTCAAGAATTTGTTTGTGTTCTAATTCTCCTATAGTGACATAAGTCAATTTTTGACAGTTCCAACATTAAATTTACATTTTTAGTGTTATTTTTAAAAATGATAGCATATCTAGATAATTGTGGTGTTAGGCAATTTCAAGACATAACACTTCTTACATAATTTTCAACAAGCAGCACAAGCCTAATGGAGGTAGATGTTGATACACTAAGAAAAAAATTAATCAGGCCGATTAAAATTTTATTTAGGCCAATTAAAAATTTGATTAATTATATGACAGCTAACAATTTTAATTAGTTGTATTAAGCGCCGGTTTCTAAAATAGTTCACTTGAATCTATTAAATTAGTTTAATCAAACCAACACGCAACTGTTTAATTAAATTTATTAAACCGTTTACTTAGATTGAGTATACCAATTTATATAAAATCAATTAACTATTAAAATGAGTTAACCTTCTCCAAGTAAAACAATTTTATTATATTTATTAAATTTGTTTAATCAGTGTATGTAAAAGTATTGAACTAGGTTTAATGAATTATTCCATTTACATTTAGACGTATATATTTGCATTTTACTGAATGATTTATTTTAAAAGTGTGCTCTGACAAATCTTAGATATCGAAAACTTTGGAAAACTTGATGTTGTTAGCTGATTTATGTACTTTTATAATATTTTAATAATAAAACAACGCATTTGCCATATAAGTAAATTCCACATCACTTTAAGCAAATATTTTTAAATACTACATAGTCTGCACCAACAGGGAGCTCCACTTCATATACAGCGTGTCCAAGATAAGGATCCTATTCATGGGGATCTCAATACCTGTGGGAGATACAGCTTACGTTAAACTAGGAAAATACAGTGTTTCATTGGGAGCGGGAAATATTCTAAACATGGTTTTGGGCCAGTAAGCGCGTTATGCTCGAGTATTTCACTTGATCACCATAATTGATCTACTTCACAGCTCCTACACCAATAACGGCAACATTCGAATATGAAGCTCCTCGCGAAAATCACAAATGAGACTGTAGAGCTCGAAGCGCGTCACCGGCACTCCGTCAGTCGCATACACCCGATCATTCATGAATGAAGGGCCGAGTCCTGCCGAGTTCGTAATTCAAATAAACCGTTTAACTTTTTTTATTAAATTGTTTGTTTTAATTATTTTGACGGAAACGTGGAACATAATAGACACTTCATTGTTTACCATACATTGATATAAAATAATATCTAATTTTGGAAATTATAATCAAAACGACGGCATTATCATTTATATTATAGAAAATATCAAAATTTTAAGCAATGGAATTATTGCATTAATTTGTAATAAAGTCATTAAGCTAACCGTAATATTTGACAAAATTAATATTAAAGTAATATCTATATATAAAGGGTGGTCCATCTATCGTTTTTTTTTTGAGTTACTGGTTTTTTGGGATATGTCAAGACTTATTTCGCATCTGATTTGACAGAACATCAGTCATATCATTCCGATTAACGAAAATGGTTGTGTATTCGCTTGAACAACGCTGGGAAATATTAAAACAATATTTCGAAAGTGGTGGTAATGTTGCAGATTGTGTCCGAAAATTACGTGCAAAAATGGGAAGAAATGAAGCACCGTCAGCACCGTATGTGAGGTATTTTGTGCAAAAAGTTCGTGAAACTGGTCTTCTTATTGACAAACCAACACGTGAAAGACCGAAAACGGTGCGTACACCCGAGAATATCGATGCTGTAGCTGAGAGTGTGGCAGAGTCTCCAAGCACATCAACGCGCCAACGTTACTGTGAATGGTGAGCGTTACCGTACCATGATAAATGAATTTTTCTTTCCACAAATTCAAGATATTGATGTCGGTAACATCTGGTTTCAACAAGACGGTGCTCCGTGTCACACAGCAAACGCTACGATTGCTCTTCTGCGAAGTGTTTTCGGTGATCGCATTATCAGCCGAAATTCTGATGTTGTTTGGCCGCCTCGGAGCTGTGATTTGACCCCATTAGATTATTATTTATGGGGTGCCATTAAAGACCAATGTTATGCCAACAAACCAGCAACAATTGGCGAAATAAAAGAGAACATACGCGCTGCCATTGCTGAAATACAGCCACATACGATTGAAAATGTGGTCAAAAATTGGACTGACCGTATGGGCTACTGCAAAGCCAGCCGCGGCAGTCATTTAAATGAAGTTGTATTCCATACTTAATCGGAAGGATTGTACTTTCAAATAAAAAAAAAAATTTGGAAAAATATTTAGTAGTTTTTTTTATAGCATTTTTAAAAAAAAAAATTTAAATGGACCACCCTTTAGATGCCCCTCTTCATAAATAAATGACTTTATAAATTGTTTAAGTTTTACTAGGAGGTCTGAATATAAAATGAATTGAATTCAATTTACTCAAAAACAATAATACTACAAATAACTACCTAAATTTAATGAATAATTTTTGTTTCCTGTCATATACAGACACTGCAACACAAATACAAGGTACCTCAAAATCTTGTATTGATCATATCTTTATTAGAGACTTGAAAGAAAAATTCTGTTATAAACCAATTCTTTTGGAAACTAACATAACTGATCGTTTCTCCACTATATTACAAATTATATCCAAAAATAAAAAGCGTGACATAACATACGAAACACTAGCCATTATGAATATTATTTAGATAAAACAAAACATAGACAACGACTAACGAAAAATGACTTGATATATTAAATGCTGAAAACATAGAGATAGCTATCAAACCTTCATAGATAAAATTCAATATTATGTTAATATAAGCACCAATAAAATTAAACTAAGAAGATGCAATATTAAAAGAAAAAATTGGATCAACAATGCAAGAAATGGAAAAAAAAAACAAAATTTATAAAACAATGAATAATAACCATGCAATAGAAAACATAAATAATTATAAAAAAATAGAAATAACCTTACTGAAACAAAGCAAACAAGCCAAAAAAATTATATCCAAAAAAAAATTAGTGAAAATGGAAACAATTCTACATCACTATGGAATGCCTTGAAAGAAACAGAATCAGAAAATAAATATACGACAATTAACTTGATAAAAGATAAACAAAATCATATATTTAAAATTTAAATCAAAACAGGAAATCGCAAACAGATTTGTAAAATATTTTTCTAATATAGGTGGGACACTAAAATTCAAAAATATTCAACGTATAGAGAATCTCTACAGAAAAAATACACTCCAAATTCATTCTACTTAACGAATACTGGTGAAAACGAAGTTACAGTGGCCAGCAGTGAGCAGTGACGTAAGGAACGTCACAAGGTAGGGGCTGCTTGCCTCGTTTCCAAAATTTACGGTATTAAAAAAACCCTAGAGAGAGAAAGACTGTTCAAATATCTACTCTCTACTCTATGTCTGAGACAAAACTACTCATTTAAAACACTCAAAACGAAGAAAAATCCATGTACAATCTCTTTCATGAGAAATTTAAAGCAAAGGAAGAAAAGATAAAAGTGTATCTACTACAGTGACATACCCTCAGAAAATTATCCGTTGTTCTAAAATAAGTTATGGCAGCTCAAAATTCAAAATCATAATCAATGTAATATAGCAAGCCCAAAAGATGGTGACATGTAGGCACTGTCACATATTTGAATACCGTAAAATCATACAACTATAGTCCTATTATACAACTATGATCCAAAATGACCTGTCCATTTTTGTCTTTAAAAGTTCGAAAGTGCTGCCGCCAAGTGAATTTAATGTGTATCATTATTGCCTATGGGTATAAGTCTGATAGTTACCGCGCTTCTAACTAGATGGCAACACCGCTCGGTAAGGCAATCCGGCCGACAAATTGAACAAGTCGGTGCGTGTTTTATGGGATGACGAAACTTTTATTTGAAAACATTACTTGCAGTTTGTGCCGAGTTTCGCGGTTTGTTTTTGTTTGAAGGTAAGCTAATAGTGACTACTTTGTGCAAATAGTTTTTCACATATAGGTGTTGTTATAAAAATTAATCGAAAAATAATAATTTTTCGTACTTTGGTTTCAACAATAGTCCTATGATTTTTTTGGACCATATTTAGAAGTTCATTTTTATTACAGGTTTGGATGGATGACTCACTGAAAATGTCCAGAAGAAAGCTAGGAGGCAGGCCATACAAGTATTATAGCGACAGACAGATGGAGCTGTGCCTATCGGATATAGAAAACAGAGTATTAACTCAAAGGGAGGCGTCAGAAAAATATAAAATACCAAGATCTTCAATAATTCTGAAAATAAAAGCAATACGCAACAATAGTGTTCGCCCACCTGGTCGGCAATGTGTATTCACCACGAAAGAAGAATCCTCATTCGTCGATCACGCCATCCAAATGTGTCACTTTGGGTTGCCCAATCACTTTATTTGACCTACGATGCATAGTGAAAACATATTTGGACAAGCAAGGAAGGAATGTGCTACAATTTTCAAATAATTTTCCAGGTCGTACAGGGGCTCAACTTTTTTTAAAGAGACACAAATCAGAGCTTTCGCATAGGTTCTGCAGCAATATTAAACGTGTCCGAGCTGCAGTAAATGAAGAAGCTATCAAGAACTATTTCAATCATTTGAAAATGGAAATTGAGAATATCCCACCTCACTTGATTTATAATTACGATGAGACTAATTTAGTTGATGACCCAGGAAAGAAAAAAGTTCTAACGAAACGTGGCACAAAATATCCAGAGGCTATTAAAAACTCAACGAAAGCCGCCTTTAGTCTGATGATGTGTGGAAATGCCGCAGGTCAACTGTTACCGCCATATCTTAATTACAAAGCTGAACATTTGTGGGACACTTGGACCGAAGGAGGACCTTCCAATACTCGATACAATCGATCTAAATCGGGTTGGTTTGACGCTAATAGTTTTGAAGATTGGTTTTTCACCACAGTGTTACCGGCACTGAGAACAGAAGAAGGAAAGAAAGTAATAATTGGAGACAATTTAAGCTCACATCTCAGCTACAAGGTAGTCAAAGCATGCGAAGACCACAACATAGCGTTCGTCGCATTGCCGCCTAACAGTACACACCTTACACAACCGTTGGACGTGGCATACTTCCGACCTCTCAAAGACCATTGGCGCAAAATACTGGATGAATGGAAATCTACGCGAGAAGGTCAAGTTTTGCCTACCATTCCAAAACAGACATTCCCTTCACTGCTTAATCAGTTATGGGAAAAAATTGCACCAAAAACTGAAGACAACCTAAAAGCTGGCTTTTTAAAAACAGGGATTTTCCCAACTAATGAACAGCCAGTGCTTGAGAGACTTCCTACGTTCAAACACCCTGAGCCAACCTTAGATCCAGAGGCCGTCGGAGAGTCATTCATCCAATTTCTTGAAAATAAGCGGCAAGCTGTAGTGTGTCAAGGAAAAGGAGGTCGCAAGAGAAAATTGAATGTAGATCCCGGAAAAAGCGTATCTTCTGAAGAACTCAAAAGAGTCCTGTCCGAACCTTCAACCTCCACAAGAAACAAAAATGGAAGAAAGAAAAAAAACAGAAGAAGAAAACAGATTCGGAAACTGAAACAGATTCAGAAGAAGACCAGGCAGTGGAAACTATTGACGATTCAGATTCCGATGGCCCGCTAAATGAGGAAGCCGACGATTGGGAAGATGAAAATATACAACAGCAGCATGATACTTCTCCTCACAATGCATCGCTGCAATATGTTCCGGAAGATTATGTTGTCGTGGCGTATGAGGGGGAACTATGGCCTGGCCAGATAGAATCTATCGAAGAAGAAGGAGCCTACGTAAAATGTATGGCCCGTTCTGGACTGTTGTGGAAATGGCCAGAAAAAGAGGACAAAATATTTTACCCTCTCGGTGATATTAAATATAAAACTGAGGAGCCCAAAAAAATGAGCACCAAAAGGTCTTTATTCCGAGTTCCGGAGCTAGAAAGTAGGTGGGGAAATCCCAAAAAATAATTGTTTTTGTTTAATTTCTTTATCTTTTATTGCTTTTCTCAAATAATTTCTATGAATAGTTTGAAATGTTCCTATGAAAGATACGTTTTCTTTGTTCATTTGTTGACGTTTTAAGAAGAGTAGGCTGTTTTGTTAAATTGATCTCAATTTGTACCTTATAAATAAAAAAATAAGATTATTGATTGTAATTTGTAGTTTCTTTTTGCAGATATCACTTTCAATATATCTATTTTTGCATGAGACCCTTCCAACTGTAGTCCAAATTCGTATACGCGTACGTTTTCTTGGTGAAATTCGATCTGGACTATAGTTAAAAACATCATATGCAACTATGGTCCAATATTTAACAAAAAAAATTAAAAAATAGGTTGGTATTTTTAAGCAATAATAACTACTACATATAGTCAGTAATTCAATAAGGTACAGTCTACATCAAATTCCTTCCCGCTGTTGGTTTTGGACCATATTTAGATGATTTTACGGTACGTAAAATGCCAAACAAAATAAAAACACTCTAAGAATTTCAGTCAGCAACAATCAATATATCAATATCTATAAAATGCCCAATTAAAATGATATGTTTTACCTGTTCAAGTCAGGGTTTTTTGTAAAAGGGAAGGGATGGCTTCCAACAAAATCGCCTGCGAAACAACTACAAGGCAGCTACAAAACAAAGCTGGAGGAGTATGCTTTTCCACTAAAAGGAAGTAGATGTTGAACAAACTTCTTCAGGACAAGCATTAATAGACGTGGTCCGTTGGTATACAAAACAGAACTTACCGCTGGAGGTTAAAATCCCATTAGAAAATGGACTGGTAGTACCCAAACCAACACAACTGAACGTAAGGTACAAAATAAAAGGGTACTACTCCATAAACTGGTGTTTGGGGCGTTAATATCCCAAAATCTGGAAGTTAACGAAAAAACGCCCACACACAACCAAAGCTACAGCAGAAAGAAAAAGAAAATGGCGCTGGAGCGTCTGCGCATGCAACCCCCTAAATGAAGGTTAAGTAAGTGGCCCTGAAGAAGGCACGCAATTTTTAACAGAGGGTATCTTGATACAAAGGTAAACAACATTCATATACGGCTGGTAACACAAGGTGAAGAAAATTTCGAAGATAGTCGTTAATAATACTATAACATTAGTGTCCAAAAGATTTCAACACAATACTGAGTCGCTGAGAAAGAAATATGTAATACATGTGAAATTATAATTAATTAACTATGAAATTTGCCAAAAGAGTATCATTAAAAAAGGGTTTGGTCTAGGTATCGGTACTCTATAATCAATAAAGAGAAATTCAAATGACTGATAAGTGATCAAAATAGTAAAAAAAGGTTGCGTGATTTTGGCACGTGACAAGTTATCTCATGTATGTTGTTAGCATGATGTCCACATACAAGGAGCAAATTTGCTTAATAGTGTATTATTTCAATTAAACTGGTTTCAGAAAATTCAGTTTATTTAAACAGACTAGTTTAGTTACTTGGAGTAATTAAAAAATGTATTACGGGTAATGAAAATTATGCAGAAGAACTGTTTAATTGACCACGTTTACTCAACGTACCCGTAAGTCTTATTATGTTGATACAACGCTGTCACTTGCAACTGATTTGCGTGGGAAACGTACCTTAAACCATATTTTGCATGTTTAGGTCCTACAAAGAAGCACCTAGTGTTAGGCGAAGAAGCCGCTCTATGGACAGAGCAAGCGGATTCAGCTTCGGTGGACAGCCGTCTTTGGCCTCGAGCTGCGGCACTTGCCGAAGCTGTTTGGACATCGCCAGCCAATCCTAGTTGGGAGGCAGCGGAGCAACGGTTTTTGGCACACAGAGAGAGACTGGTCGAACTAGGTATAGGTGCTGATGCGATTGAACCAGAATGGTGCTTGCAACATGAGGAAAATTGTAGGATCGGGGCTAAGCTCAATACTGATACTAAGTTTAACTGATTTGTTATGGATCTTATGGTTAAGAAGTATTTTTACTATGTTTCAATCTTCCAGTTTTCCCACACAAGTTACTATTATACGAAGCATGCGTTGAAAGATGAATAAAATGACAATACTGGCTTAGTTTGAAATACAGAGTGTTACAGAATGTTGTCAAGAAAACTTAAAGGCATATTTTGCACATACAAACATAAAAAATTCCATACATAGACATAAGACTCGGAATCCTCTGTTTTATGATGCGAGATATTTAAACATTTTGTACGTTTGTCACTCATGCCAAAAGAAGCAAATTTTGTAGATATAAGACTAACCAGAAAAAACATAGCGTCCACAAAACAGCTGATGGCGTCTAATCACGTGTTGTTATTTGGCGAAAGAAACATGTGGTGATGCCAAATCGACAATGCTTTTTTGATGAATTCATTGTCCGCCTCTTGTAGCGAAAGGTTAAGCATTTTTTGTTCAAATTCACTTACGCTTGGATATTTATGGTGAGGATATTTATCATCCAGTCTACAAAATATATGTTTCACTCAATGGGTACGTCATACGATACAAAATATTTATGCAAGTGTATCGATCAGAGCAATCACAAAAGATAGCCGGCATTCTGATATTCTTTCACCTTAACCAATGGACCCCACAGTTAATATTATTCTTAGAAGCTCAGTTAATTATTAGATCTTGCATCTTGCAACATTATGACAATAGGTCTTTTCACGGTTTTTGACGGGTCTCAGTCAACTTACAGGAATTACTTCCATCAATCAATGTCACTCACACATACATATGTATATGCAATAGACCTCTATGCACGAACGTTTGTTTGTGTGAACTGGCAGACATACGTTTTTTGTTGTTTGTTGTCTCACCATCATGAAAAATTTTTCCGTCAACGTATGACATGTGATTTGAGTTTACCGCTTTATGTTGTTGATTTCTGACAAAATATAGATACAACTATAATGTCGACAGTCTATGCTAATTTTTTTGGATCCAAATAGTGAATGAAAAGAACGGTTCTCTGTTACACAGTTCATGTGGGTATGCAAGAGCAAGTAGCGACCGCGTTAAGGATCGGCTTGCGCAGTGTGCAATTGCGCTGTGAAGTTAAGCTCAAAAAGTGGTACCGTTAAGTCGATCGGTTTACTTAATTAGTATGGCATGGTGACGTAACCGTCAAAAACTGTGAAAGGAAATGTAGTTCATTCAGCTCAGTAACAGTTTCTAAACATTTTCTGTCAGTCTGGCAACACTGTATAGCTGCCATTTATGGCCGAACCGCCAAACCAGAGCCATTTTCCTGTGACCCAGTTGAGTTACTCGGAGTTGCCGCAAAACGAGGTGGCTTTGTAACAGATTTAATAGTTTTTGTTGATTATGAAATTCTTTCTATCTTATACAAATTAAATATTCCAAATATTAGAAATCAAAGTTTCATCATTTGGTTACTAATCTAGCCCATATTGCTAAAACAGAAACTTTAAAGAAGAAAGTAATTCACAAAAATTGGACCCCACTTAATGGAGTCACTTTGTGACACCGTTAGCTTTCCTTGAATGCACAAAGTCAGAGTTTAGCCGGGTGTGTTTGTGAAGAATAACAGTCTCAACCTATGTTCTTCTTGTTGGATTTGTCACAAATTCACCTTCGAAATTATTACCATATGAAAATGTGTGTCACAAACTGTACCCATATAAAACCACTAATCGAGTAAGAATACTTTATTTATCTCAATTCAGGTAAAAAATTAGTAAATATGAAACTTAAAGCTAATAAGTGCATAATTAATCAAAAAATGTGTAACAAAGATGGCAATAAACACACTAAAAATAAATGCCTATTTCTCGGACGCGAAAGATTTCTCTACGAGACGTGATTTGCACTGGTTTATTAATTTTTGACTAAATTATGTCGGAAATGTCATAAAAAATTTTGTCCTTCCGGTCAGACCACTTCCAATTGGCACCACACTTCTCCACTGCACTAACAGAGACTTGATTTTCTTTAAGGCTGGTGATGACGCCAGGAAACAAATTCCCTTCACAACATACAATAACATGATTTCCAATATTTGCTTTTATATCATCATTGACCACTGATCTACTTTCTGGTATTTCACCTTCAGTCATATCATAAAACTCATACATGGGCGACGAGCCACTCTCCCTATATGAGACCACATCAGAATCTTGATCGAAAATTTTTGTTGGATTTTTCAAACGGTATTGCCGTTGAGGACTTTTCGAATTGTATGGACGTTGAAGGTTCTCCATATATCGGTGACGTCGATGGCATATTCCGAACTTCATCGTTTGAAGACACTTTTTTAGCCAGCCCGTTTGCGCTCTTTGTTTTGTGATTTTAGTCTAGCTTTTGTCAATTCGTCAGCAGCAAGGTCCACATGTGCTCTTACCGGGAGCTATATTTACTCTTTTACGTTTTTGACATTGACGTAACCAAAACTGTTGGGTCTCGTTTTTTCTGTAAATGTTCTAAAAAACTTTCACCCAATGCATCATTTACGCATGAACTTTGGTTGTTCATAATTTCTTCTGGCATGCGACTCAACACTTCTGCACGGTTGAGAGGATGTCAGCCACAGTTTCAGATACCAGCCGGGAGAACATCAACTGCTCTGTCATGTATGATAACCATTAACTTTTTCAACAAAGCGGGAAATTGATCCTTGTGTATCGTTCCACATCTACTACCAAATACCGCGTCCTTTCATTCATGCGAAATCATTCAACAGTTACTCTTCGTAGGCCTAAAAAATGCCTCGTCCAAGGGTTGGAGTAAATGAGTTGCAATAGGGTCTAATGGAATGAAATATTGTTTGCCTCACATTGCCGAATAACCTCAATATTTAGGTGCGAACTTAAATTGTCGCCTATAAGTACCTTTCTTCCATCCTGTTTTTTAAGACGAATAGGTGACATGAGATTAATGAACCAGTCTTCAAAACACTGGTAGTCGAACCAGCCGGATTTTGTTGTTACACCGAGCATGTCCAGGTCCATTTTCCGTCCAGGTTTGCCAAAGCTTCTCCGATTTATGAACAACATATACTGGGGCGATTTCTGCGGCTGTGTTTCCAGCTACCATTAATGAAGTACATGTCTTCTTAGCATGCCGGATTTGCTCCAGATACTTTGTGCCTCGTTTTGTAAGCACTTTTGTAGAACCAGGATCAGCGCCTAAGTTTATTTCCTCCTAATTCCACAAGTTCGATGGAGCAATACCCTCTAGCTCTGGTTCCAGATTATTAAAGAAGTTGTATATAGTGTCGTGATTCACTGCATCCTTCGAAATACTTATGTTTCGAGCAATTCTATTAGCCTTGTGTCTTTCAAGAAATGATGTGACCCATCCTTTTCCGGGGAAGTTATTTTTAAAAGGTCTTACCTTTGTTCCTCTCTTATTTAAATAAGCCTTTACAATAAAACGGAGGTCATGTGATGTAACAAGAAAGCCAAATGTGGATATGGCAATTATGTGAGCAATAATTCACTGCTCCTCTTAGTTGTTCAGAGCCGTTTGGCCCCCAGCGGGAAGATAATGTTTTCCATGCAGCTTCAAAAACGTGTTGCAGTGAAGTCCATATCTGCAAATTATTATTAAGCGTAAATATGCAAGCTTTCTTACTTTTTCGCTCATTTTTTTACCTTTCTGCAGCATCTCGTATTCTTAGTTTTCTAGCTCTTATTTTGCGAAGGGCTTCCTGAAGCGTCTCTTCAGTGTAATTTTTATATGCGCGTGTGTCAGGCTTTCTAATGTATTTTCGGTACATTTCTGTAACAAAAACTTACTGTCACAAAGTTGTTGTGTAGATGGTAAATATTCTATGACACAAAGTCATCCCATTTTTTGTTGACATTTTACTTTATGTGTCGCCAATGGAATGATAAACATAATTTTAGTATTGCAAATACACATATACTTACCCTATGTACCACTTCAGACTATCTGAGTACCAAGATCTATTTATTATAGTTTCACTTGTACAATATGAAGTATGACGAAGAAGTAAAATGCAATAAAATGATGCGTTCATAAAAACCATTCTCGAGACATACCTACTTCTAGGACGATAGCCACTGTACGACTGATTACAACTGAGTACCCACTTCATCTGGTATCTGGGCAACCACATCTGACAGACCTACTGACCTACGATACTTTAACAAAAAGTGAAGGTCCCGCGGACCGCTCTGACGGACAATGACGAATAGAATAGAAGCGAGTACCTTTGAAAATGCATGAGACCAGAGGGGTAGCGCTCGTGTGTCAAATATTGTAACTATATTCAAATTTTCGCAACAAACACCCACTGTCACAAAGCCACCTGGCTGTCCTAGTCACCACGTTTTACGGTACTCTGGGTAATTCAGAATTGTACAGCACCAATATCGTTCTACTGCACCTTGTGTTCCCATACACACTTTCTATAGCAGTTCGGAAGCATATCACTCTCAAATCAAAAACCATTGGAAAGCAGTTTAGGGGCGGTGGTTAGCTCACAAATCGCTGTTTTCGTTGAAAATCAACCTAAGGTCAATGAGGTCGACCGGCGGATTTCAAAGACATTCCATTCCACAATTCTCCCTTGGTGTAACTACTCTTTAGTAAGACCCTATAGAATGACAAATGCTATAAGTTTGGAGGAAAGTGATCAATAAATACACATACATAAAGGATAAAATATTTTATTGATACATGAACTGAATACGTAGGTACATGGATAAAAAAATAGAATATAGGTTATATATATATATATATCAAATTGCAATGAATATATCACAGCCTTATTAGCTAACATGCATGTATAGCTTTTATGAGGAACAATAAATATAAATAATATGTTTAGAGTCGTTAATTCTGTAGTGATTCTTGTTTAAATCAGGTAATATTCCAGAAGTGGCCCAAAAGAACGCTTAAGGGGGTGTTTTCGAACCTTGCATGAGACATATTCTCGCATGCGATACTGAAATTTTATTTTTGTGATTCTTGTCAACGTTTGTAAGGGCCGTATCGTCAGTCGTTCCTACAATTGTGGGACGCCTTTATGGCGGACAATTTGATGCAAACAGATATTTGTAACATAACCTCAAAATAGAGCGCTGACACGTAATAGTAGACCCTTAGAGAGCTGTCACTTTTGTTGTTTAATTTTAAGACGGATGTTGAGGAAATGCGGTCAATAACGAAGAAAAAAAGTACTTTCAAGCAACTCATATCCCTACTTTATTATCTGTCGTTTTGTGGAACAGTGAAAAAATCTCGAATCCGTCATTCATTGTCACATGCTCTTAGCTTCGCGAGATTTTGTCGAGTGAAAAATGTCGATTGCCAGATTAAAGAAGGCACTTTTTGAGTTTCGTGTGACATTTTCGCTATCATGCATGAAACATTAACCACTCGATATTCAAGAAAACCCTGGTCGGTGAATCATTCCTAAATTATTTTGGGCCGCTTCTCTCATTCTGGATTAAAAAAGAATTGGTCTAGAAGCAACGCCTGTTCAGTCTTATTCTTTGGAATGTGAAGGAGTATGAGAATAATTTTGTAAAACCTTCTGACACAAAGCTTTAATGCTAGGTTGGTTCAAAAGTTCTGCCTCTCTCGAGATCCGTCTGATGTCGGCCATTCGTTTGTATTTGACAGCCAAGAAGTAGGCAGTCTTCAATTGTTTGGCCTCAATGTACGCAGATATCTGGAAACAAAAACAAATAATTTCTCTAAGAACCTATCGGTTAACAGGCTAAAAAATGGCATCAAGAAGGTTGACTCTGTAGTTACCACACAACGCTGTGTACAGGGTGGCCAATATATAACTGACTGATTTTAATTGCGCGCCATTTTTTATACACGCATTTCAGTAGGTGGCGCCGTAGTAGTTGTTTAAAGCACATGTGTCCAATTCACCGTGGAGCGCTACATGATCCCACAACGCGTGCGTATTGTTAAAACGGTTTACTTAAATAATGAGTCGATTGTTGCAACCATTCGGAAGCTACGACAAGATTTCGATCGAAATAATTTGATCAGTGTCAACACCATTCGTCAGTTGGTGCGGCAATTTGAACAAACAGGTAAAGTTAAATAAAATATCGAGAGAGTTCGTGAAAGTGTTGTGGAGCGCCCTGAGACGTCTACCAGACATCGTTTTGGGTATTCGTCGCATGTCATTATGCACTATTATAAAAAAAGACTTCCGTACAAAATTCAGCTAACACAAGAACTACATCCTAGTGACCATGAAAGTCGCCGAAAATACAGTCATGCAATATTGCCGCTTAATACCCAAAATAACGATTTTTACCGATAACTGATAATGAGCGACAAATCCCACTTCGATATGAACGGATTTGTTAATAAGCAGAATCGTCATATCTGGGTATTAGAAAACCCTCGTGTCATCCATCAACGACCACTATATCCTCGTCGAGTCACGGTTTGGTGCGGTGTTTGGCATGGAGATGTCATTGGACCTTACTTCTTTGAAAACGCTGCAGGTAATTCTCTCACTGTCACTGGCGAGCGCTACCGTGATATGGTACAAAACTTTCTGGCTCCTCAAATCCATAATTTAATCTGCAAATCAGGTGGTTCCACTAGGACGGAGCAACTTGTCACACAGCTAGGGAATCTTTTGAGAACAATATTTTCGGGACGTTTAATATCTCGACTTGTTGATGTCAACTGGCCACCAAGGCCACGAGATTTAACGGCTACTTACTTTTTTATGGGGATTTTTGAAAAATAGGATTTAGGCCAACAAACCAAATACTTTAGAGCAGCTGAAGAATAATATTACGGAAGCGGTTCTAAATATTCCTCCCGAACCTACCTAAAAGTGATGTGAAATGTAATCAAGAGGGCGTCGGCTTCTAGAGGCGGACATTTGTCGGATATTATTTTCCATACATAATTTCTAAGTTTAAATAAAAGTTAAGATTGCAAAAAATTGAACGTATTTTATTTCATTTCGCAAATATTCAAGAAACAAACCAGTCAGTTAGATATTAGCCCCTCTGAGAAAAAAAACTAAGAACAAAAAATTAAATGGATCGATTCAGTCAAATAGGCTCATACAATTAAAATGTTCATATTAGCATACTTTTGTGTACAATTTTGGAGTTTTTAGAATTGGGGCCACACTGATGAAACATGCTACCAACGGCCTTTAAAGTTTTGGAGGCAGGTACGCTCTCACACAAAATGATCTCTTGCCAATGAACGACCTTCGCCACGACCCCTGACAAAAATTCGCGCCTGTGCATCCGATCGTTGCTACGACTAATCCCACGTGTATGACGATAGACTTTCACAGCCCACAGCACTATAGCAGTGACTGCCAACTGCGAAGCATTCATCGACCGGACCGCCGGACTAAGTTTTACGTATGGGAAATCTATGACAGTTGCGTATATAGAACTTGGGTTCGGAAGGGCCCATTGTTTCCGGAGGGGCATTGGTTTCCCAGTGACGTAGGAAGTAAAAAGGAACACTGTAGAAGGATGATAATGATTGAGAAATTTTTGACTTGAACAGTGTACAGGTTTCGGTCCTTAAGGCGAGGTGACAAAATTAGAAAATTGCCTTCGGCGCAAAATCCACACCATGCATCTTAGACAGTTTTCATGCAAAGTTTTCTGTGTCAATTTCTTCAACACCTACTATGATCTTCTTTTAGAGTGTCAAATACGTCAATCGTCACAGCAAATAACAGCTGATTATCTAGTAGCACTTCAAAATATTGACAAGTGACACACAATTCTGACGAATCTGTCAACGCTAGATCAGTAAACCGAGCCGAGGTTCTATAAAATTTTGGGCAAAATGAACATTCGATCTACAAAAATTAAAGATTATTTTGTTTCTGTTTTTGAAAATAACACCTATCACTGCGGAGAATCAATTGACTTTTTAACAACAAAGCAAAGAATCACCTAAATTTTTTATTTACTACCACAACCGAAGAAAAGGTGTGGAGTACCCTAAAATGTATCAAGTCAAATGCCAGTGGAAGTGATGGTATTACAACCAAAATGATTAAATTATGTTTTCCATTGATCAAATCTCATTTTACACACATCTTGAATCAATGTTTAATAAATGAGTATTTTCCAAATTCATGGAAAGAATCACTGATCCTTCCTATTCCAGAAATTTCTTTTCCAGAGTCGTGCAGTGACCTAAGAGTTTGCCACCCGTACTATGTAAACTCCTTGCAAAAATCATTTCTTTCCAGCTAAAAAGATGCTTGTCTGAAAACGATTTAATTTCTGATCCACAATCTGGATTCAGAGATGGTTATAGCATAACAACCACCCTATTGTCTGAGCTGATAATATCATCACTGCTACAGATAGGGGTAATGCTAGTGACCTGTTAGTCCTCGACTTTTCTAAAACGTTTGATAAAATTAATCATCATCTTTTAATGTTAAAGCTAAAATATTTAGGACTATGTGAGTAAAGTTTGAATTTCTTTCGATCGTATATTACTGGTAGATCCCAGAGAGTGGTTTTAGGAAATTATGTTTCTAGACTAAGAGATGTTACATCTGGAGTACCACAAGGGTCTGTTCTAGGGCCTTTGCTCTTCACCATATATACGTCAGACATAATTCACAAATGTATTTATCTTTTAAAATTTGAATATTAAGATTCTCTAATTAAAAATGATTCAAGTGCAATTTCAAATCATGCGAAGCACAATGGTTTGAAACTTGACGCTGAAAAAACTAGTTATCCTTTGGAAAAATCCAAATTGAAATTTAGTGACTCCATTACAAACCTTGAAGATGTTTTTGATGACAAACTAAGACTCCGAGAGCATGTCAGTCAAATCTCTAGAAACCGTTATTTATCATTACGACTTATATATGCAAACAAAGACGGCATGACTAAATCTTTTAAAAAAGCGTTATGCGAAAGCTTAGTTATATCCAAAATTCTATATTGCATTACCCTTCATTTTCCATGTTCAGATCAAACCACTGCAAAATGACTACAAAAAATCCAAAATAATTGTTGCCGTCTCATAAATAATTTAAAAAAATATGACCATACTTCAAGGAGCATTGTGAGTATGGGCTGGTTAAACGTCGTTGGGTTTTTCCAATATCATTTAACCACTCTTGTACATAAAATTGAAAATAATAGAAAACCATTATATTTAAACAATAAACTTATACCTCGTTTAAATATAATTTCATCCAGTAGAAATCAGATCTCCGCATTTGTTCATCATGCCACACCAAATATTATTTGAAAGATTACCTCCTGCATAAATAAGTGTTTTTTTTTGTGTATGTGCTTGAAGCTTTAATATCAAATTTAAATACAAGCAGGTAATTTTACTATTGTATTTTTTTGTAATATTTGGGTCAAGTGGAAGAATAGCTACATGAGCTAAGCTTCGCCCTTGTATAATGTAATGATTATTATTATTATTATTATTATTATTATTATTATTATTGTGTTGTGGTCTTTTGTATGCTACTGATTCATACTTCTTACCAACACTTTTATTTTTAAAACTTCCTTCGCACTCAAGAAAAGAAAAATGCAATAAATAAAATAGCTGCATGACTATATAGAGTCAGGTAAACAGTTTTTTGACTATATTTGGTATAAACAGTTCTAACTACGCTCCTGAGTTTTACGTGATTCACACCCAATTTATTATTGTCAACACTACCGATTTTAATACTAAGATGTCACTGCTAATCAGCTGTTCACCTCAATAATGGAGGCTCGAGGAACAGACCATATAAGAAAAAAGGATTTCTTACTAACCTTCATGGCCTTATCAGACATCAACTTTATCAAATCCTCAACTTTAGTTTCCGATACATTTGCTTTGATCAATGTCCCTACCGCCTGCTGTAACATTTGATCACAAATATCTGTGATGTCAGCATCACTAGTGCCAGAATGCTTGATACAACTCACTAGTTCCGCAATTCCTGAATACCGATCCGCCTTTGCGAGTTGCTTTGCGGATTCACAGTAGATCTTCAGTGGTTTCAGTTTGAATTCTTGGATAATCCTGTAAAAAGTACGATTTATTTCAAAATAATCTATTAGACAAAATGATCTTACCTGTGAGCTAAGTCGTATCCTTCTTCGACTGTTTTCCCACATATTATCACTAGTACTGCAAGTTGAATTCTTTCAATAACAGTCCCAAATAGAGTCGGAATCTTCAGTTTAACATCTGCAGGTTTTGAAGAATTTTCTGCAACAATAAAAAAGGTTGTTAAACCAAAGAAAATTGTTCATAAGATCATATTTAGGATATTTTCATCAGAGGCAATAGCAACAGCTTGAAAAAAAAATTATACTGGGTATAAATATTAGAGAGAATTAACTATTTAATAGCACAAGTTCATACATACCTTCTGTCGGTTGTAGGTCTCTCAATATTCTAGTAGGTTTAACACCGTCAGTCTCACACTTTGCTAAAAATTTTGCAACTTCTGTTTGCAACCAAATTGTGTTAATATGCTTGTTAATGTCTTTAGAATTCATCTTCATTACCAGTGAGTGATTCACTATGCCTTTTTCTTCGAAACTGTCTCGTGATGCAGAACTTAGCTTTCGAACTAAAATATCAATAAAACGGATAAGTCAAAATATTGAAAAATTGGGCGTCAAGTAGGTTGACTGTACTTCCTGCCCAGTGCTGTCATTAGTTTATAAAAGGCTAGCCTAAACCCGCGGCTCCGCTCGCGTGGAAGTCGTGGAGAGTATTCGTCTTGCATTACTTTTAATGAGATTAGTTTCGGAGAAAGGAATGCAATATTCAAAGTAATGCAATAATTACTTTGGTAACAGATATGTTTTATTCAATATTTTAATGCAGCAATATAATGGGTGATTTTTATGGACTTTTTTTCAAGTTGGCAGCACTGATATAAAATGGCGGCCAAGCGTAATCTGTCAAAGTCAAAATTGTTCAGAATACTATGCCACTTTATCATTGAAAGACTTACAAAGGAACAACGATTGCAAATCGTAGAAATTTATTCGTGGTCTGCGAAAAATGTGTTTCGACTTTTAAAGCCATTTTATGATCGTCATAATCGACCTAGTGAAACCACAATTTTAGGTGTTTTTACCAAATTTCGTACCAAGTTTACTTTATTGGACATTAAACCGTCGACTCGCATGCATACAGTGCGTACCGAAGAGAATATTGCATCCGTAGCAACCAGTGTTAATGAAGATCGTGAAATATCCATTCGCCGCAGATCTCAACAGTTGGGAATGTGTTACTCCACCACCTCGAAAATTTTACGTGTCGATTTGAAAAATGACCTACCACAACGTCGAATTTTTGGTGAATGGGCCTTGCTCGAAGAAGATCCGCTGCTTTATCAAAAAATCGTGTTCAGCGATAAGGGTCACTTTTGGTTGAACAAACACAATTGCCGCATCTGTGTGATGAGCAGCCACATGCTATACAAGAATTGCACAAGCATCCAGAAAAAACAAACCGTTTGTTGTGGTTTATGGGATGGTGAAATTATCGGGCCGTTTTTCTTTACAGACGACTTCGGACGAAACGTTGCCGTCAACGGCGAACCACATTTTTTTTTTTTTATATCGAAACAGCCGCGCAGGCAGAAGCCTAAATGCCGGAACACCGCGGCTGCTATGATGATCCCAAAGAAATTTTGTTAATACGATTTTTGAACTGCCTAAGGTTAGTAGAACTGGGAAAAGCTTCCTCCCGTAGATTGTTCCACAATCTAGACACCCTCGGGACAAAGGAGCGGTCGTATCGGCCAGTTCTGGATGTACGAAGTTTGACACGGTTAGGATGGGACGCCGAAGTCAGGCGAGTCTGTCTGGCAGGCACATCGCGCGGCGGCATCATGGAAGAGAGCTCTGAGGAGCAAAGCCCGTTGGTGTAGCGATAGAAAAGAGCTAGGTCGCCGACGGCCCGCCGGTGCGAAAGAGCCCGAGACTGTCTGTTAGGGAAGAGTCATCGATCAGTCGGACCGCCCTCCTCTGGACAGCATCGAGCATGGACAATGTAGTCGGGGCGGCAGCACCCCAAATGTGTGAGTAATACTCGAGGCTACGCCTTATCTGGGCCTTGTATAGAGAAGGTCATGCGGAGAAAAGTACTTCTTGGCCCTAAACAAATAGCCTAGCTTTTTCCCAGCAGCTGCAGCTATTGAAGAGATGTGTTCGTGCCAGATCAGGTCCTCGGCGATCTGGACTCCGACCAGCCGAAATGAATGGCTCTTTGGTAGAACTCGACCGTCCATCGAAACTGTATGAGCGCTAGGACGCTTTTTGTTCGACAAAGTACAGTACTGTGTTTTGGAAGCATTGAACTGTACAAGATTGTTGCGTCCCCAAGCAGTGATAGCCCCCAGGTCTCTTGTCAGAGAAGAAGTCGTCGCTAGTCTTTTTTCCAGCTCAGCGGCAGAGATCGGCTTGTCACTCTGAATTCCTGCATGTAGAGTGCTATCATCAGCGAAGCTGTGGATTGGGTTGATCGTGCAGGAAAGGAGGTCGTTGATATGTAAGAGAAACAGTGTTGGAGCCAAGACCGATCCCTGGGGAACACCCGCGTTGACGTTGTGGGATGAAGAGGAGAATCCGTCAATTACGACGGATATCTTGCGGCCAGAGATAAAGTCAGCCACCCATCTGCAAATCTTTTCTGGGAGGCCGTAGGATGGAAGTTTGCTTAAGAGGGCAGCGTGCAACAGCTGATCGAACGCTTTCGTGATGTCAAGAGCAACGACATGAGCTTCACCATGAGACTAGATGAGTTTACTCCACAGTTGCGTGACGTAAGCTAGGAGGTCCCCTGTGGATCGTTGGTGCCGGAAACCGTACTGCCTGTCGCTAATCAAGTTATGACGTTCGAGGTAGTCCAGAAGCTCGCGATTTATGCACCTCTCCATCACTTTACTTATAACAGAAAGCAGAGCTATAGGCCTGTAGTTGTAAGGGTCGGTTTTAGATCCTTTTTTTGGGATGGGCTGTACATGAGCAAATTTCCAGTTTTCTGGGAAGGTGCCGGATTCATAAGATATCTGGAAGAGACGTGAAAGAACTGGAGCAAGCTCCGCTGCACATCTCTTCAGTACAATGGCAGGAATCAAGTCCGGACCAGAAGCTTTGTTGATGTCGAGAGACAAGAGCACTCGTCTTACGGTCTTATGCCTGAATGTTACCTCCCGCATAGTGTGGGGAACCCTTTGAATTGACGGCACATGGGCGTTGGTGGGAACGTCCATGGTGGAGTTGGCAGCAAAGATCTTGGCTAGCACTTCCGCCTTGGCCTTTGAGTCGAATACAATAGTTCCATCCTGACACGTAAGTGGTGGAAGGCTACTGTGTGAGAAGTTCTTTTCAATCTGCTTGGCCAGCGTCCAGAAAGACCGACTGCCATTGCGCTGCGACATTACCCTGTGCCTAACTTTTATATCATGCTGGTTTTTGGCATTGCGAACCGCATCGGTATATTTGTTTCTGGTCTCGACGTCGGCTTGTCTGTTCTCTACAGTGGGGTTTTGTAAGTAGGTTCTGTGGGCCTTGATCTTCTGCTGGCGAGCTGTGTCACACGATTTGTTGAACCAGCCGTTGGACCCTGGTTTAGGAACTTTCACTGTGTGAGGGATGTATTCCTCCATTCCGACGTGGATAATTTCGGTTATTGAAGAACAGACAGTCGACGCATCCGCGCCAGTGAAACAGACATCTCTCCAAGGAAAGCTAGAGAAGAAGTCTCTGAGCCCCTCCCAGTCGGCATGACCGTAATGCCAAGTTTTGCGGCCTGTGCGAGTTTCTGCTGCCACAGCGGCTTCTGACCGAAACCTAACCTCCACAACACCGTGATCTGAGTTACCCAGGGGGGACAGGACAGCAGTGCTGTAAGGGGCAGGATGCGTGGTCAGAAAGAGATCCAGCAGGCTACTGGCGTGTGACGAGACGCGGGGGAAAAAAGTAGGGCTCGTCACCAGCTGGGTCAGCCCTTGAGTAAGAGCGAACGCTTCGACTGCACGACCTGCTGCATCGGTCTTATTTGAGCCCAACCAAAGCTCATTATGGGCATTGAAATCACCGAGAAGAACTACCTCTGAAGCGGGGTGATTGATGTTCAGGAAGTCGATCTGGACGGCGAGGTATTCGAGTAGGTCATCCCAGTTATGGTTTGAGGGAGAGCGATAAAGGCAGCAAATAAATTTGGGTGATGTTTTAGGAGTGGAGGCGAAGCCACAGAATGTCCTTCCGGTCTGATTCCAAAGAAAGTTCCCTGGAGCAGGAAAGACTGCTGCGGACAAAAGTCACAACTCCCCCGTTCTTTCTCAGATTGGAGTGCACCTCGTAGTTTGGGAAGTTGAGATGGTTAATCGGTGCAGTCTCTGAGATTTTTGTCTCCGCCAAGAAAAGCACGGCGGGACGATTGGATTGCAGGTAGTGATGAACAGCATCAATGTTGCTGTTGATCCCGCAGATGTTCGAAAAACAAATTTTATCTTCGATGTTGTTCCCTCGAGCCCACCCTCCACCCGGACATTCCGAGAGTGGAGTGAGTTTACGTCCGGAGTTTTTAGTGCTCGAGGGATCCATCATCATTAATTTCTTTGTTTTGGTAGATAACCGACTGCATAGCTTAGGTGTGGAAACATGCGGACATTTATAAGACACCCTGGGAAAAGCTAGCGGGTGGTACTGCCTCGGTCGACTGGTCCTTGTCTACCACCTTCTTTTTACGTGCTAGTGATGTTAAATAGACCTAAAGTGGCCCGTTGGCGGACTTGTACCGCCACCCGGCAATCGGTACTGAGGTATTCCTTAACGCGTGCACAATCACTTGGACGGGAAGAAGTTGTATACTGGATACAACGACTTCCGGAACAAGCATTTGCCACGGCCCTCGCTCAGTAGGGGGGGGGGACATCGATTTATTGCCCAATAAGATCTGAACTTGGTTGACATGTAGTTTCAACAAGCCGCCGCCACATGCCACACAACACGTGAAACAATGGACATTTTAAGGAATGAATTTGGTGAGCAATTTATCTCTCGGTTTGGCCCTATAAATTGGCCACCAAGATCATGCGACTTGACGCCTCTGGACTCTTTTTTGTGGGGCTACGTGAGATCGTTGGTATATATGGACAAGCCCAGCACTATTGAGGCCTTACAAGAAACATAACACGTGTTATTTGTGCATTTCGGGCCGAAATGCTGGAAAAAGTAGTAAAAAATTAGACATTCCATATGGACTATTTCAAACGTAGCCGTGGTCAACATTTGCATGAAGTAACCTTTAAAAAGTAAATGGCAAGAACCAGTTAATCGATTCCGAAAAAGATTTTGTATACATAATGCATTTTCAGCTGTTTTATTCAACTTTCAAAAAGAATTCTGTTAAAAAATCACCCGTTATAACGGTGAATGTTATCTCGTCTGTAAGTATCACGTCTCAATCACAATACGAAGAGTCACAAAAATGTGTACATTTACTAATTTATACCCGAGGGAGGTTTTAGGCATGGCTTAATCCGCGAACTCATTTTTGGAAAAAGGTTCTAAAAAAAGTTTTGGGATAACATAAGTAATTTGTACATGAGCTTAAATATGACCTCAAAATGATCCCTAAAGGAATTTGCACTCTATCACTAACTAGTAATATAGCTTCCGTTTGTCCGACCAAAGACCGCCAACCATGGACAGCTGTTTCGTGCTATTTAGCAACTCTTCAGAATGGTGTTGGCATGGTTTCGGTGGACAACGAACGAATGCTGAACAACTCTATTCAGAGCGCAAGGTTTATCGAAATAAGTCAGCGCAAAGGGCCGTCTATTACCAGAACAGATCACTGCGAAAGTGAAAGCATCAAGCTGACTGTTGGAACTGTGTCCTAGTTTGCATTGTCAGCCAGGTCACCTGGAAATTTTTCAAAGCGTTTCAAATGCAGCACTCATATCCGTTAAATTATGGAAGAAAAAAATGGAGTCTCCATAATAGATGAAGCCCAACTACCGGATCACCGAGGACTTGATCTAGCACGAACACATCTCGTCAATCGCGTCAGATGCTTGGAGGAAGCTAGGCTATTTGTTTAGAGCTAAGAAGTACTTTTCTCCACATAACCTCCTTACTCTGTACAAGACCTACATAAAATCGGCTCTCGAGTACTGCTCACGTGTTTAGAGTACTACCGCCCTGAGTGCATGATCCATGCTCGATGTTATTCAGGAGACGGTAATCCGACTGATCGATGGCTTTTCTCTAACAGAGTCTCAGGGCCCTTTCACACCGACAGGCAATCTGGTTCTATTCTACAGCTATGTCAACGGACATTGCTCCTCAGACCTCTCCTGTATCATACCGCCACACGATGAACCTTTCAGACAGACCCGCCTGAGTATGGCCTCCTATCTTAATCGTGTTGAACTTCGGATATCCAGAACTGGCCGGGACGATCGCTCCTTTGTCCCTAGGGTATCGACATAGTGAAACAATCTGCCTGAGGAGGCTTTTCCCAGCTCTGCCAATCTCAGGGAGTTCAACAATCGGATTAACAAAGTGTCATTAAGCACCTTACAGCAGCTCCAGTCCGCCGGTATTTATGCTTCCGCCTACGCGGCTGCTTCGCTAGAAAAATACTACCAGACCATCTTAGATCCCAGGGGTTTAAGATGAAAAACCTTTATGACCATAAAATCATAAATATAAAAAATATCAATTATACAAAGCAAAGTGTTTCCTGATATTTCCATACCTGCAGCTACCTCTATCCACTGCTCCTGTTCAATAACATGTTTCAGATGTTCCTCAGCTTTATTTAAAAAATTCGTATTATTAATAAGGTCGCTAAAAGTAGAAATGTTCTCTTGATAAAACCTTACACAAGTCATAGCAGCCCTTATATAATCTCCCATATATTGCTGGAGCTGGTACAAGGAATGCAACATATTTTGCTTTTCTAGATGCCTGCACAGATGCCTTAAATAATCCTAAAAACAGGTGGAACTGTCATTTTGAGGACTGGTGAAAACCATAACTGTTAAATACAGGGTAGTTCAGAAAATAGTGGTGAACCGTGAGACCTAAAAGACCCCCAATTCGAGATATAGGGAGTTGATGTTTCAATTCCGAAATATGTTATATATATTTGGAGTGGTTTGTAATATCGTCTTAAAATGTTCATGCAGTAACACTGCCAATACACTCAAAGTTTTTTGCGCCTGAGACAACACCAGTGGCGTATACAGGGTGTCCCCAGAAATAACACGCCAGGGTGACACGGGAGGTAGATTGGCTTCAGATCAATCAGATAAAATCATCATGACATTAGTACAAGTTTTCTAGTTTTCGAGATCTTGCCACTTTTAGGTTTTTTCAAAAAATCACTACTTTTTGCTCATTTTTCCCTGTTATGGCTATTAAGAACTTCTAACGTATGTGTTTTTTTCTGGGCTACCATTAATAGTTGGTTGAGAGTATTCATTCCATTGAAAACTGGCACGGTTTGCCGAAAAAAAATTAATACACTTTGTTCCAATGTGAAAACCTTTACTAAAGTTTGACTAAATACTGTGAAAAAATGTACCAGACTGAATCGGCAAATGATCTGAAAAACTAACCTATATAATCTTCTAAAAATAGTAGAACAGATGCAGGTTCTTTCAACTAAAAATTGAATAACTCCAAGTTTTTTCATAGAAGTCGTAATACTTGCGAAATACTACAAATAAAAAATAAGTGCAGCTGTCTTTTACATCCAAATCACTAAGTAACGAAACAACCTAAACATGTCATTAACTATCTCGCTCTCACATTCATTGTTCGATCGGTACAAGGAACAGGGGTGGTACCTGCGCATCGCACGCGTGGGGTTAATTTAATACTGCTCCTTGGGTTAGTGCTACACACGTGTTATTTAGCTCTTTCGCTGTTTAGGTCGATTCATTCCTTAGTGATTTGGATACACAAGACTGCTGCTCTTATGTTTTATTTGTAATATTTCGCAAGTATTACGACTTCAATGACAAAACTTCGAATTTTTCAATTTTCAGTAGAAAGAACTTACAAATCTTATACTATTTTTGAAAGAGCATTAAATAGTCGGTCAGTCAGTCAGTCTGGTACATTTTTTCACAGTAGTTAGTCACACTTTAATAAAGGTTGTCACATTGAAACAAAATGTATTAATTTTTTTTAGCATACCGTGCTAGTTTTCAATGGAATGAAGACTCGGTTGTCTCAACCAACTATTAATGGTAGCCCAGGAAGAAACTCATAAGTTAGAAGTTCTTAATAGCCATAACAGGCAAAAAAAAGAGCAAAAAGTAGTGATTTTTGAAAAAACCTAAAAGTGACAGTATCTCGAAAATTAGAAAACGTTTACCAACTTCATGCTGATTTTATCTGATTGATCTGAAGCCAATCTACCTCCCGTGTCACTCTGACGTGTTATTTCTGGATATCCTGTATATTGGGAAATTTTGACTCCTGGAGAAATAATGAAAATTGAATTATGAAAAGGGCCTTTTGGGAATTTCTTGACAAACTATTTGTTTTGGAAAAAATTGGTTTTTATATTTGAAGTGAAATCCGTATAAAAAAATGCAATCCTTACTACTTTAAAAATATGCTAAATTCAATGGAGTTTGACACTGAAAATAGTGTGGTCAAGTAGTGTATTAGGAACGTAATCCTATAGCACCATAGGGTTGAAAAATATGTTTTGTCCTTATCTAGTATCTTCAGTGGCATCAAAATTTACAACACCGTCTCCCGGTAATGGGAAATTTTTGAATTTTTTATATATTGAGCTTGTATAATTTAACTATGAAGCTTATTTTCTAACAAATATAACTATATCACCATTGCTCCACACTCACAGTTTGACCCTTGCAATTGAGCAAGTGGATTTCTGTATTTTTGTCAAACAACAACCAATTTATTAAAAAAAAACTTTTAACTTACCTTCCACACTTCCAAACTAGAGTCAATGATGGACATATGCTCTTGCAGTGTATTGATAATCCCATCCTTAAGACATCTCATGTAGATGTCTATAAAAAGTTCGGCGCTTATCTGCGTTTCTAAGACGTAGTTCAAAACTTTCTCAAAATGTCCATGTCTAAGGTAAAATTCCATCAGGCTCAAATGCGAACCGTATCTGGTCAAATAATAAACACACTCGTCGAAAAAGATCCTGTCCATGACCGGTTTGTTTGAACTAGTTTCTTTAACATTCTCAGATTGGTACTGTCCAGCACTGGTGCTTTTCAAATTCTTCAGCTTATTCAAGATGGTTATAGCAACATCGGACGGTCCTGACAGTTTGAAGCTTTGGTTCAAAGGTGATACAGATCCCGATAATCGTTGCTGACTAGCTCTGACAAGAATCTCTTTATCAATAGTTTTGGTGTTCGATTCAAGTATGTGAACAATTTCGTCCAAAAGTATCGGATTTTTAGTAGGTTTGCAGTCACAGGTGCTCAAAAGTGACAGTCTGGACATGGTTCTGGATTTTAAGGTACTATTGCTGATTGAGTCTTCACAAGAGGTATGATCCAGGTTTTCTGTATACAGATTTCTATCTAGGCATCTTTGGAATTTTTCTCTGGCAAGCTGGAGACAACCTGCTTTCAGACAGCTCTTACCCCACGTCGCAAATATGCCTGAAATAAGAATGCAAAACGTCGGTATTTCATTTTTTTTATTTTTTCACATGAATCTCAAAATTTCAAATCGATTGGAGCATAATTTTATGCAAAAACGGCCCCTTATAACGAATCTGGATGATGCTAGGCCCTAATTTACGTTAAACATATTTTTTTTCAAGTAAATTCCAAAAACTGTCAAAGGATATTTAGGTTTTTTGGGGCCTTCTGTAAAGTTGATACTTTTAGAGACAATATTTGAAAGAGTTCTAAATGTGTAATTTTCGACCACGAAAAACAATAGGAAAAATCGAAAATTTTAATGTTACCATTATTCCTAAATATTCTTCAAACATCCATTAACGTATTGCTATTGTAAACCTAGTTATCTTGAGAAACAACCCACCTAAGAAACCTCTCACTTAATACTCACTTTTATTCGTTTTTTAGGCGTTGCCTCCGGGGATTTGCTTCTAACGGGTTATTTATAAATTTCACTTTACAAATTGAACGGAATTTAGTCTAAATGTCATATTATGTTATGGTACTTAATTGAATAAATTAGCATTACTTGTATCCACAAAAAATCTTGAAAATATGCCTTTATTCCACGGAATTGACCTCAACCCCCACCTCCCTTCTCACCCTTAGAGACGGAGAAAAAAATGAAGATAGAAATGCGTTCGGTTTTGAATACTAATGATTCTGCCTGCAAAGGCCCAAAACAAGAAACCTTCTGACAAAGCCAACAAATGAAACTGTCAAGACCTCACTCAGGTATGTTAAGTCACACTTAACATATAAATAGATAGCACCTAACATTTGAGTATATATATAAACTCCTACCTGTATTATCCAATCCAGCTTTTGTAGAAACTTCTAAAGCCAAATTCCACTGTTCTCTTTCTAAAAGCTTATCCCTGAGTCTCCTCAAAATTGGCGCATCTATGTACGCCTCTCTGCTATGAGTATTAGTGATAGGCAACAGGTTAAGACATCCCCTTTCTGCTAAAAGACTCAACAGATCTGCTTGCGAGAGAATTCTATCAGCCATAGAGGAACCATTTGGAAGATTACATTCTACTGATGACATTTTTGCTGCTAGTGTCAATGATCTATAAAAATTTGCGGATTACGCAGAAATTAGCTGTGGAGTGTAAGAAGATTTTTGATAGTTTTGAGGTGGGATTTTTTTAATTGCTTGTTGGAAAGCGGTGTTTAGGGCTCCTGCTGCGCGGTGTGTGGTGAAGACAGGTGATAGGGAATCCTCATTCCAGATAGTTTTTAGTTTAACATCACTTTATGAAGTCTGCGAGTTAGGATTTGGCATTGCAAGACCATTTTTTAGCTTTTGATAAATACAAAAATTATGTTGGAACCAGGCCAAACGTGTGAAGAGGATTAAAGCCAAGATGAAAAATATAAGGAAAACCTTTATTGCAAGAGGACGCTATGAAGCTAAAAAAGCATATAAGATGGTGAAAAAGCACGAAATGTAAGTCTAAACCTAGGAGATAAAAAGAGATTTAGTTCAACAGAAATTTCAAAGTTAAAGGATTACACGATTTTAATACCAGAAAAATTAATAAAAAAGCTATACGAAAAAAGTGATGTATTAACCAAGCATGTATAGTAAAAAGCTCAAAAATGGCAATGAGTGTAAAAGAAGCAACAAGAGAAAATGTGTGCATGTTCCTTCTCCAAAATTAGAATCGATAAATGCAGTCATAGTCAAGCCAAATGAATATCCAGAGTACAAAAGCACAAACAAATATATTGCTAAATTTTTAAATCCAGCCACTTTGAAAATAGGAATTGAAAAAGTTTATGAACTAAAAGACGGTGCAATAAATATTCAGTGTAAGACCAAGCACGATATTAAAAAGCTGCAAAAAATCAGCAAGATTGCCAAAAAATTGTGACTAAAGTTATTGGCCAATTAAGTCACAAAAAGAGTTTGAAGATAAGGTATACATGAAAGTAATTATAATAAAAAAATGAAAACAAAGTACCAAGCAATTAGAAGTCTACTCAACACATTTAAATATATTATGGAGTAGGGAGTTATCTCCATAGATATGTCAGTTTGCTCTGTTTTTGAATATATCGATAAACTGCGTTTCTTCACGTGCTGTGGATTTTATCATACCGCAAAATATTGTAATTTGTTTAAATTTGCAACTGACGAAAAAGTAGTTTGTGCACCTGTAAATACGCCGTGGTATAACTCAAATATCAAAAATGCTGAGAATTTGAGAGACAATCGTAGTAGTGAAATTTTATATAAAAATATATAGTCTTGAAGACATAATATATTTTGTAATTACTGTGTAATATGGATATTATAGATATTGTAGCATTAATGCTAAATAAATCTGAAACAAACAAACAAAATGAGTACCAGACATTCATACTTACAAAATCTGAGGATGATTGGTGTGAATACAAAAATTTGAGGAACAAATACGTCTATGTTATCACGAAAAAAAGAAAATATGGAGAACAAATTAACAAGAATAAACACGACAGTGTGAAATCTGGAAAACGCTGAAAAAATGGTCAACTCGAAACCAAATGAAAATTTAAACCAGGTTGAATTTGCAAATACCATTAAAACTAATCCCTGAGTTATTGAACTAAATAAGTATTTCGTGAAAAGTGGCATCGACGTTGTTAAGACTATGAAGACTTCGCACAAATGACACATTGAACATCAACAACCAAGAAAAACATAAAGATTCAATTTTTAGAAACGTATCACTGAATGAATTAAGATGGAACGTGAACAGTTTGAAATCGAACAATAATTCTTCTGAAGTTATCTCTAAACGTATCATGAAACGCTGTTTTGATATAATGGAGTATCCTTTTTAAAAATGGATCAACTGTAGCTTGAAGAACGGTTGCTAACCTATAAATTTGGAGTGTTCTACCACAAAGTAAAGAATTCCAAAAATATAATGGATTAAGACCAGTAAGTGATCTACCAGATGTTGAGAAATTGTTAGAATCGATAGTTCAAGACGAAATATGTTATATATTCGTAGAAAAAAGCAAAATCTTAGTAGATAAACAAGCAGGATTTCGGTAGAAACGTTCTACAGAAACAGCCCTATAACTATTGACAGAAAACTGGAGAAGAGCAATAGATAGATAGCTATGTTCCTTGACTTAAAGAGAGCATTTAAAACAATGAATAGGGCCGTACTTTTAAGTAAATTGGAAACATGTGGTGTAGCTGGAAAAGTATTGAAATGGATTCCAGATTATTTGACCAACACGGTGCAAGTAACCAGGATAAATAGCGTTATTTCATCAAAGATGGAAAGTAATTTCGGAACCCCCAGGGTAGTATCCTGCGACCAATTCTTTTCATTTTCTATATAAATATTTTATCTAATTTACTAAAAAATTGCACAATCTAAATATTTGCTGATGATCATGACCGCCCATATAGCAAAATCCAGGGGGGGCATGTTAGGTTTACAGGTTGTACCTGCTGAAAACTAACTAGCCAACCCGTTGGTGACAATTAAAGACGGGAGGGGAAGCATGCTGATGATACTTTATTACTTTATGTAAATGCTCAAAATTTTGAATCAGGTATCTCTCTCATGAATAGTGATTTAAAACTTGTATCAGCTAATATCTAAAAGACTGAAATTGAACATAGTCAAAATCTATGATTATTGGAAAAAAAATGTTACAAATGTATACGTAAATATTAGAGACAAAAACACTAGATAGTAGGTAGTAGATTTTTTCACATATTTTGGCATAATTGTTGACAGTAGGGTGAATTTTGAACTACAATACGAAAAAATTATCTGTATAATTAGTAGTAAAGTATTCTATCGATGAGGTATTTCCGAGGGTTTAATTCTATACAGTAAGAAAATCATTTATAATAAAACTGTTTTCCGAACTTTGTTTTGTATAACGCAAAATGTTTATATCTGGTTAATGATTCCGTTTTTTAAATATTACAACTTTTTCAAAATAAATATAAATAAGGCTTAACATAAAAAATTTCACTAAATACCTAGTCATGATTTTTATTTATAAGACCAGACACAAGCTTGATTTCCATTTAAACGCAAAAACACACAGTATATGTATGAAATCGGTTTTCCATCAAGGCCTAATGGATTTTAACAAATTAGATCCAGATATAAAATGACAAACTAGCCTAAACAATTTGAATCAAAACAGAAACTATGTTAGAATTGCCAATATGACGATGCACCATATGATTTGAGGTTATTATTGTTGTGTTGTATTACTTCCAATTGTTTATGTAGCCATTTGTGCTGTAAATCTTTCTGCAGCAACTACTACTATTATTACTAATAATTCATAACTAAAGAGATGATAGCCCAGTCACCACTGTGTGCGCTAGAGGCTGACGAGTCTGGCGGTATAGTGGATGTCGTCTACTCGCCATTGAATAAACTATACATATTGCTTTCGTCCGCCTGAACACAGACAGCCAATCATAACAGCTGTTTCACATTTTTTTTGTAACTAATCATCAAAGCCTAGGCTTGATCTCTGATTCGAGGCATGATATCTATCGAAATAAGACACAGCAAAGCGACAGATATAACGAGAATTGACTATTGCAAGTAAATATCTCAGTTCCCGAGAAACAGCTGTATGTGTAAAGGAAGAAGGCAGCATGTTTAGTAAAGAAAATATACTTACTTCAACATTTTGATGACAAGAAAATAATCAATTTCTTGTGTAGGTTCTTGAGAAGGTAGTAGCAACTCAAACATGTATTTACACTGGTCCAAAAGAAATCTAAAAAAGCATATGAGTTATATTCTTGATACAGAACTTACCAATATGTCTGCTAAAATAAAAGCACTTTGCAAAAATCCATAACTCCATAGTCTAGAATAAAAATTAAATAGCCAAGCTATAATCCTACTCACCTTGGATACTCTATAGTTTTGGAATGATATTTCATGAGAGCTAGACATAGAGAAACACTAGGAGCATGTTCATAAGAAAACTCCTCCCTCACAATATTATTATGTTCTGGATAATCAGAGAGAAGCCAAAGATCATTTACTACAGATTTTGTTGACATACTGTCACCTGGATCTGAGGCTTCACTGCCTAATGTGTGTTGATAACAGTCCTCACATACTCTCACTAGAATATCGCCATAGGAAGGCACCTGAAAATAGATGTTTCTAAATAATTACCTTACAGTATAACCAAAAAATGCTAAAGGTTTAGCCGGAACCCGCATGTCTTAAAAAATCTGTACTCGAGACTCAGGTAATATGCATGTGTTTTTAGAAAAAAATGGAACGAATTCTACTGAAAATCCGTGATGGCAGTGGCAAAATTTTTATAGCCGGTAATTTCAATATAGATTTTTCTCAGGAAAGTCTGAACAAACAACTTTTATGTTCACTTTTCAATTCATATGATTTATGGTATATCAAACTATATTCCAATGCACACGCATAACATCCACCAGTGGATCTTGTATTGACAATATTTTCACCAATATCTCAACTTATGTATCTAGTGTCATTAATTCATTAATCTCATATCACACTGCTCAAAAAATAACAATGAAGGTTAATATGCACGAACTTGGTGATGTTATACAGAAAAGGATATACAGTTCTGAAAATAAAGAATTTTTTAACTAGCCTCAGATCTGTAAACTGGCAAAAATACTTCAAATTCCTCAGAATGATCTAAACAAACAATGCAACTGTTTTAGTAGTATATTTCAATCTATTTTTGACCAATCGTTTCCCATGAAAACAGTAAAAGTGACAAAAAGGCTCCCTAACCCACATCATTCTCAGGAAACGGATAATAATATTAAGGAATGTAGGGACCGACTGGATGTCCTATATGTTATAAGCAACAGTGACAATTCTTATAAACCATGATATAACAAAGTCAGAAGAGTGTACAATCTATTGTTAGCTAATGCCCGATATAAGTCATATCAAAGATGTATACAAGAGTCAGATAATAAATCAAAATGTGTGTGGAGTAAAGGAGATAAAAGGTCAAAATAGAGAAGACTGTGTTATACCGGGTGATCCTGAAGTTATGGCAAATTATTTCAATAAATACTGTATTAATGAAGTAATTAAAATATTGTCACAGGCACCAATATGACTTTTTAGACCGGGTGCAAGAGTGTATGCCGCTAGAATTAGCTCTAGAGCTAGCAGAACTGGGCAAAAGACTTAAAAATAAAATGAGTAGTGATGATGATGGCATTCCAGCTAGTATTTTAACATATTGCTTAGAAGTGATTCTGGAACCTTTGGTTCAGATAATAAACAACTCACTTAAGTACGGTATTTTCCCTGAAAAACTTAAATTAGCTGTAATTCTATCTATATATGAAAAAGGAGATCCTAGTGACTTGCTAAATTATAGGCCAATAAGCTTACTTTCTTGTTTTGCAAAGCTTTTTGAGTTAGTGATGTATTCAAGAATTATGCATGATATGATTTGTAATAACTTAATTGCAGAGTCACAACATGGCTTTGTAAAAGGGAAATCCATCAACACGGAGATCTATTCTTTCAGCCACAACATCATAGAATGCCTTGAAAATAATATATCACTGGGTCTATTTTTTTATCGCTCCAAAGCTTATGATTGTGTGGATCATTATCTTCTATTAAATAAACTCGACGCATACGGGATAAGGAGAAGTGCTTCCAACTGGATTAAGTCTTATCTGACCGATCGTAAGCAAAGAGTGTTCATTACAAAGAATGGAATATCAGCCGTTTCATCACAGTTAACGGTAGAAAGAGGTATTCCACAAGGTAGCGTCTTAGGGCCTCTCCTCTTTCTGTTTTTTGTGAACGATCTGTGTGCTAGTATTACAAGCCCAAATAATGTATGCACGATCTAATACGGTGATGACACTAGTGTACTAGTGTCTCTGGCCAAGATTTCAACCATTTAGCTGAAAGTACTTTGAGCCTCTCTGCGAGAAAGCGTTTTTGTGGTTTGGTCGTAGTGGATTATCCCTGAATACCTCAAAAACAAATGCGATTGTTTTTAAGTTAAGAAAAAAATCTAAGCTACAAACATCACCTTAGCAAAAAGAATAGAAGTCCCTCTGACAGACTGTGGAAAATTCTTGGGAGTTCATATTGACCAAGCACTTTCCTGGGCTAAACATATGTCTATAAAAAAGGTTAAACAACGCATGTAACAGCATTAGACTACTAAGTAAGTACCTAGACCTCAAGACTGTAAAAATGGTATATTACGCGAATTTTGAGTCCATTGTTCGTTTTGGAATAATTTTTTTCGGGCATAGTAGCCATACCAACTGGATCTTTCTAGTGCAGAAGTTAATGCTGAGGTGCATCCTAAAACTTTCCTCTGGACAAATTTGCAGAGGAAAATTTAAGAGTAACTGTAGCCGCAATATATATTCAAGAGATTCTAATTTTTATATTTAACAATATTTACAATTATATCGGTAACCCACAAGAAATAGAAATATAAATATTCTGTATCCAGTCCATCATCTCACGGTTACCGAAAAAAATGTCAATTACAGCTGCATTAAAATATATAATAAGTTACCACAAGAAATTAAAAGGTTGGCGAATATAATATAAAAAGAGTATTTATCAATTGTTAATGCACTTAGAACCATAATGACCTTCAAGAATATTTTGAAATGTAAAATATCTATTATGTTATACCATGTTCTTTGTTTTTTCTGTCTCGACGACGCTGTGACGTATATTTCACCTAACAGTGTATAATAAATACATAGTAATCATGCACTGTTATTTTGGAATAAAGATTTATTGTTATTATTATACTGTGGGAGTGAAAATGCTCATAATATTGGTTAGTGTAGTTAGGAACAATTGAAACACTCTTCAAAATGTACTAACGCCAGAAATATCTCTTAGATTCCAGTTAGTACCAGTGTATTCAGAGTTCCGTACTTAAATGGATATTGTAAAATAATAGGTAGTATGGATCAAGAAAATAAAAAAGTTCTAAATTCAGTTTTTACGGATATTCATTTAAACACTTTAGTATCACATATATGAGGCACTATTGAACCGATTTTGTTGAAATTTTGTACGATAAAGTTACCTAGGAATAACGTAAAACTTGACGGACGCTAAAAATCCAGGGCCGGGCTCGATTTTTTTCATTATCAAAATCAACCTTTTATGCCGAGAATTGAAATTAGTACGTACAAAAAATCTAATGAATGGTGCTAATTAATTAGCAAAATAGATTCGCTGCACCTCTTTTGGTTTTTCATTTAATTTTTTTTTATTCAAATATCTTATTTTTTGCGTGGGACAAAACTCAAAATTATGAATCATTCCAGCTCTAAAAAAGGCAAAACTTCGTAAGATTGTTTTGAAATGTGTATTTCACCAAGCTGTTCATCTCTTGTTAAATCTGCCACCTCTATTTCCCAATTTTCATATAAATATTTACAGTACATCTAAAAACAATAAATTATCTCAAATTTCACGTCTAGAATACGGAAACTAGATCATTTAAATTTTACTTCAAGGTTATATTTACGACAATAAGCCATGGGATTATCTGTTCCAAAAGAATCGTGCGCAACTAGTTCTGAACTGTACTTATCTCGGGCATGCGCAAAAAAATAATGTGGAATTAGTTCTGAAGTAAGTGCTTGTTGGAACATATGGAGTTTCCTAGAGGTCAAGCTAAACTTACCTGCATCCTATGCATAGAACAATTATAGCAAATAACCCGTCCACATCTCCTACAATGATGCCTTCTATTGAACATAGAAAAAGTGACCTTCTGACATCTCATGCAATCTATAACTTCACTATTTGGTATCCAATCTTCCTTCGATGGCACTTCTTCTGGCATTGTGAATCCATTACAATCATAATCCAGATTTATAGAATCCAGAGATTGCATCAACTTATGTTCAGGAGTGCGTAGTAATCGTGGATTTGGATTGGTTATCACGTCGAAATCCAGTGATTTTTCAGCATATCTGCGCAACAATTCATCTATGGCTTCAATGGATAACCTAGAATTTTTATTTGTTACGTTTCGACTGATCAGCCAGATGCTCCTATCACTGAAGAACAAATAACTGGGGATCAATTGTAGGCGCAGTAGTTGGAATGCTCTCTGGGACATGATCCCATATTATGCCAGTGTTAACGTTTATGGCAAAATCATGTGTTTCTGGATTCTTCATATCAAAAAGACGTCTCATTACAAAGTTAGCTTCGTCTAGTGAGACAGATGGACGACGACGGCGAGAATGACTCGGGAGCAACTTTTCTATCTGTGTTTAAGAATACATACTCAAACGTATTTGATAAGTGTCAAAATAAATGTCAAAATTTGAGAGAACCAAGTAATGGGAAAATTTCTACTGACAATCCTCCATGTTTGTCTGGCCGCTAAATAAAACTACATGTGCTTCAAATACTGATGACGACGTTTCGGCCATAGCGATGGCCTTTTTCAAGTACAATTAACAGTTGCCATTTTCAAGTTCACTTGACACTGTTGTGCTTGAATAAGTCCACTTTTGAGGCCGAAACGTCGCCATCAGTAAACAATATTTCAAGCATATGAGGTTTCATTTAACGGCCAGACAAAGATGGAGAATTATCAGCTCGAATATTGCAGGATAAGTTTCAGGTGATTTCTACTGAGTATTCTACTCCCTCATTTTCAAAATTTAGCCAACTGAACTGCCAATCAACGATAGTAACTAGAGAAGAATCCATGAAAAAAGAAACTGATACAGGTATAAAAGTAAACTTGCCATGAAATAATATGCTTACCTATTATCTTTGGCTTCTGCATAAGGCACTTGGGGCTTAACAACGTTCAAGACTGCAGACAACTTATCTAACTTAGTATTCATGATCAAAATTTCAATTATACTTAGAGGATTATAAATAAGACACAACAGCTGTTCTAGCTCATTTTGCGTGAAAACTGTTAACATTTTCAAACTCAACTCGACGCTCCTAAGGTTGCTGTCATCCACATTATGCATCAAATATTGAACGACAAATTGTAGATGGTCTAGCTGTTTCAGTTTCCTCAAGAGGTTGTAGCAAATGCCCACAGAATGCTCATATGGTAGATTGTCAAGTAAAAGTTTTATTGCTTCCAATGACTCAGCTGTATCAAAAATTTTTAGAAAATAGTTGTAGTTTATGTATACTAGTAAGTTGTCATTGATCCTGTACAACTTGATCAAGTCTAACAGTAGGTTTATCTGAAACGAAAATATGTTTATATGTTAAAAGCAGAATAGAAAATGCATAATTATCTTACCTTACTGCATTCCATAAGCTTCTGAATAACTCTTTCCGTTTGCATTTCACACAAATCATGAGCTGAAGACCACATGGAAACATTCAAAATACTTCTAAGTTCCTCATTTAGCTCAATAATGCTCAACCACTTTTGAAGCTCCCTCAATTTCAAATTCTCGTCAGCTCCGTATCGTGTAATTTCTCTCTTTAATACATCTATGCAAAATGTTCCTGGCCATTGTGTCAAATTATTCAAGATTGTATCTATCCTCAATTGAGTGTTGTTTATAAACTTCACGTACTTGTAGAATTCTACCTCAAACATATCTTGAACCATATCAACGATTATTCTATCTTTCAGATCTTGAAGTGTAGGATTTTTTCTGATTCTGCACTCTGGTAAGCTATCAAGTATATCATACAGGGCCTTCCAATTTGTTGTCTTCAAAGTGTGCTCTAACAACTCCTCAGCTGTTTCTAGGCTGTCATTGGAAGTTGTGCTATACAGTGAGGTTGTCATATATTCTGGTTTTAAAATTTGCGAATTGATGTATCTAACGACCTTTTGTGTGTTTATACAATTTTGCAAAGACGTTATTATTACGTTGTTATCATGCAGAACCTTCAAACGTTCAATCTTATTTAGATTCAGGTAATTAAGAAACACTTGTACCCTCACTTCGCTGACATCTATCTTGAAGTCTGTGATTTCGAACATCTCAATAAGCAAGAAAGCTAACAACCAATTTCTTTTCTGAATATAAGCTAAAATACTTCTGCTTGGTTCAAACAAATGCACATCAGGATACAGTTCTTCTTTAGTAACATTGTCCTGAGTATGTAGGTTGATTGTAGGAAAGCAGTTTCCAATTACGTGGTACAAAAAATCAAGTTTTAACTTGTTGAAGTATTTTTCAAACTCCCCAGGTTCTAGCTTCCTTTCAAATAGGAGTTTTCCCATTAGCTGCGAACGATTGTGGTCTAATATTGTGAAGTACGGACTGTTATGTCCTTTAGAGACTATGGCAGATGTGTTTTGTTCAATAAAGAATATTTTTGAGAATGCCTTTAGGTAACCAAAAAGTTTGTAGAGATATCTGGTACCTTCAGTATTGGAACCAAGATACTCAGAGCATAGTTTATTAATTTTCAGCAACGATCTATGACTTGGATGGCTAGGATTTATTGTACCAGGTTCATTATTAGAATACAAATGTTCATGGAATTCATCATAAAGACTTGCAAGCTCTTTATAAAATTCATTCTCTTTTCTTTGTTTCATAATATCTATATAATATTCTGAAGAAACTAAAAGTTTCGAAGCACTGGTACTGCTCTCACTGCACGTATCTAAGATTTTCTTACAGAATCTTGAATAAGATGACGCCACATTCGAATCTAAAGTATTATTTTCAAAAGCAAGTTGCAAGAGTGTCTCACAGTCTTCATATCTGCTGGGTTGTGTTACGGCTATGTCAAACATATTCATGAAAACTTCGTTCTTAGCTACAAAATGAACGAAAGAGTTGTTATTTTTTGAAAGGTTATTTACAATCTCGTCTAGTTGAGTATTTACAACAATTGAATTTTTCTTGAAGAATTGCTCGACAGTTTTTTCAACAGTGACTTCCATTGCAGATAGTTGAGGGTTGCTCATTTGGATAGCTTTGGCTTTAAACTTCTTTTTCATTAAGTCTTTTAGGTCTTGTAATTTCTCTAGATATACGATTTCCAATGGCATGAATTTGTTGTTCAGTGGGAATATCTAGAAATGAAAAAAAACACTAACAAATAAACAACTAATCATAGCTTGAGGGAAAGGGTTGAAAAAAAACATTTTTTTTAACAAAAATCATGTTTTTTTTTTGTTTAAAACATTCAAATTTAGCTGAAAAAAACATGTTTAAAATGCTGTTAATACACAATACATGTTCAAAACAGTAAAAAAATTTAAATAACTATGACCTATAAATCTAGCAACGTTAATGAAGTTCCTTGAAAGTGTTACTATTTTTGATCCACCTCTAACAGATCTCTCTAATTTAAAAGCGGACGTCGGAAAACTACCGTGCGGACGTCGGGGAAGTACCGTTTGCCTTTGGGTAATTTTTCGCGTTGCGTTGCGATCAAATGTGTCGTAGCGTGGTGGTGTGTTTTGTTTTTGTGCACTAAAGATCGTCAAAAAAAGAAAGGCAATGACAGGGACGAGAAAGGATCCCGTGTGGAAATATTTTAAGGAGACTGATGCCAAATCTGACTCGAAAATAAATAAAAGATCAAAATGTTGAACCTGCAATATGGATATAGTGCCACTGATTGGCTAGAATGCACAAACATATTAAAAATTGTAAACAACTTAAACAAGGAAGTTTGTTAGAAAAACAAAATATTCATATATCAGATAGTTCTGATACCGACAATGATGATACCGAACCCATTTCCTCAATGTTGAGTAGCTTGAAGAATTGTCAAAAAGGTACATTTTTTACTTGGAGTTCCGTAAAAGTAGTGAAAACTAAAAATTTATTCTATGTACATTTTCCATGATTTTATATTTTAAAAATATGAATTTAAGGATTTTTTGATTTTTTATTAAATAAGATGGGTTGTATACTTTTATAGAAATTTGTTAAGTAACTTATTTAATCTTATTAGGTATACAAGTAAATACATAGTCATATTATATGATTATTCTGCTGCTTGTAGTGTACTAGTATTAGAGTTCAATGCAGTTTATTAAGTTCACTCGTTCGTTAAGAAACAGATTTTTTTCCACTAGTATTAGTCCCTAGTTTCAAGTTTGATTAATTAATAAAAAATAAAGTATATTTTTGTATATGTGTTTTAACCTATGGCCCTTTTAGTTTCGTTTTGCAAAATAAAATCAATTTTAATCATACTTAAAAAATATTAAAAAAAACTTGAATCATTCACAAACGACAAGAAACAGTGTTTAAAATGTGTTTAAACCAGTTTAAAACAAATCAGTTTAAAACACCTTCATTGTTTTAAACAGTGTTTAAAACACTTGTTTTAAACATTTTGATTAAAACATAACCCCCATTAAGCCCCACGGTACCCCATGGGTGTTTAGGCCATAGGCCTTCGTGGTAGTTGGGGTATAAAAAAACAACCCTGTTGACTAATTTATCACATATCTCAAATGAGCCATTTATTTATTTTATTAGTAAAACATCTGAATCACATATTCATTAAGTTGAACAAATAATGAAGACAAGTAGACTGACTCAGTTTGGGGATTTCCAAAAATCTCAAATTAATAAAAAAAAAAATTTAAAAAATGATCAGAAACTCTAGAAAAATTGAAAATCGAAGTTTGAAGATGTTTTGAATCTTTTTGTTTTTCCGCTTATGACTTCACATGAAAGGAATGTTCTTCACAGAATTTCATCAAAACCCCAGCAGTTTAGTAAGCTAAGGTTTTAAGGTTCTTTGATATGTTTTTTAAGCATCCTTAAAAACATTCTTATTGGCTTAATTTGGGTTCAATATGAAACTATTCCAAACTATTCTGATTATATGCAGATGGGGTTCACAATTTTATAACCACTTTGGACTGGTTACCATCAAATTCAGAAAGGCTATTATTCCTTGAATTCAGCATATTCTGATCAAATAAAGAAAATACAATTGAAATGTACAAACTTTTATGAGGTAGATTTTTTGAATTATGTGAATTTCAATTTTGATAGTTGAAAAACAATTCCGAATTGTGTCCAACATATTTTATTTTTTGCATTCCTATCAAGATAAAGTTCTTACTCAGATATAAACAAATTTCGTGGATCTAACATTTCCACAGTCTATTCCTTAGATCTAAAGCCCGGTAAGAGCATGAATCGAGAGGTGCTTTTACTGTTTGAGTTGAAGGTAACAAGAAATGAAATAGAGGGCAAACGTGTGCTATTATTCTTCACTTAGGGATTAAAATATATATTTTTTAATAATTGGTGCTTTACTATAATGTAAATGAGCAAGCTTAAAGAAATTTTTGAAATTATATCCCTAAGTGGTGAGGTGGTGATAACATTCATAAAGCTGAAGAACCTTGAATATTTCAAATTATGCCAGCTTAGAAGTAGGAATGTGTTTTGTATATAATTTAATACCTTATCACTTTTCAAGTTAGTTTATAGATGTATGACCAAAACTATTTGACTTATGATCACAAAACTTACTTTATGCCCAAATTATGTGTCAGCTAAGTAAGTATTTAGCAAGAGGGCTGAATTAATGGGGCTAAAAGCAGATATACATATATATAAAGAGAAAATCACACTCATCACAAAATCTTGAAAACTATTTGACTATGAATAAAAAATTTAGCAGAGAAGTAGCTTGGGGACAGAACATGTTAGCTAAGAACAGTATATGCGGCAGGGCTAGATTAAATAGGGCAAAGGGCAGATAGATGTAAAAGCAAAAAGATGCTCATTAATCAAGGAAGTTATCTATGAACATGAAATTTGATAGAGAAGTACAGGGTTTGTCCGGAAAGTAATAGGACTCATTTTCTTCCGACATGACTGTACTTCGAAGCGTGCACGCACCGACTGGATTCCGTAGAGGGCATTCCTAGCTAACGAATGAGCGGCTGGTCAGTTGTCTCCGACCACTTGGAGAGTCAGGACAGGCATTTTCGCGCGACGTGTTTCTGTGAGTGGTGCAAGCCGAAAATGCAGCGTTCGTTAGAGCAGAGGTACGCGATTAAATTCTGTGTGAAACTCGGTAAATCTGCGACAGAGACGTTTGATATGATCAAGCAGGCTTACCCAGGTGTTGCTTTAGCAAGAAGTGGTGTGTTTCGGTGGCACCAAGCCTTTTTGGAGGGCCGGGAAGAGGTCGCTGATGATGACCGTGCTGGAAGACCTTCGACTTCGACAAACGCCGATAATGTGACTCGTGTGCGCAAAGTTTTGAACTCAGACCGTCGACTAAGTATTCGTTTAATTGCCCAGATGTTAAATTTACTAAAATCTGTGGTTCATGACATTGTGACACAGCATTTGAACATGCGCAAGGTGTGCGCGAAGATGGTCCCAAAAGTGCTCACTGACGACCAGAAATTGCGGCGAGTGGAAGTCTGCCAAGAAAATTTGAACCTCTGTGAAACTGACCCCCAATTTTTGAATAACGTAATCACAGGTGACGACTCGTGGATCTTTGAGTATGATCCCGAGACAAAGAGGCGATCTTCCGAGTGGCACACGACGGCGTCGCTTCGCCCAAAAAAGGGAAGAATGAGCAAATCACACCGCCTTTCTTGTGAACAGCTACCTGACCAAGGCCGGCATCCCAACGCTTCCGCAGCCGCCCTACAGCCCAGATGTGGCCCCCCGGACTTTTTTTGTTTCCTCGTCTGAAAAGGCCGATGAAAGGCAAGCATTTTGAGACGACAGAGGGGATCCAAGCAGCATGCACCGCGGCTCTCAAGGCTATTCCGGAGAATGCCTTCCGTGACGCCTTCAATGCTTGGAAATCGCGCTAGCAGCGCTGCATCGACGCAGAAGGAGCCTATTTTTAAAGTTTTTAAAGAATTGTAACGATTGGCTCAATAATTTTTTTTAAATCGACTCAGTCCTATTACTTTCCGGACAAACCCTGTAGTTTATGGTTAGGTTTCATCTGAAAACAGATTTTACGCCAGGGTGACTTAAGGAGACGATAAGGGCAGATATATAAAAGTGAAAAGATCCACACACATTAGTCATGAAATCTTAAAAACTATTTGATCCATGAACATGAAATATAGCAGAAGGATAGCTAAGAATAGATTTTGCAACAGGGCTGGATGACTGGAGGATGGAGGCATTTGCAAGTCAGTATGAAAGTTATTTGTTTTTCTACTAGAAACCTAGAATTTGGTGGGAAGGTAGGCAGTAAATGTCCGTTAAGAAGAGATTTTGCAACAGGAACTGTAATAACAAGTTTAAAGGGTACTGGTGAATTTATTTGAAATTCTTTGAATTTTTCTGCCAGATACCTAAAATTGGGAATAATGAGGTTCTTTAGAGTAGACTTGAACTAAGAATAGATTTTAGATGACATAGGTGGAATGGGGTTTAATGACTGTCACAATTTTATACATATTTACCTTTTCTAACTAGAGGCTAGATATTTCTAGGTTGTAAAAGTTGGTTTAATATATCAATTTTAAAAGTTTGGTTATTTAATCAATTTTAAATGAATGAAATTGCAAAAAATCTTGATGATATAAACACATGCAAACCAGTCTTTTTTTTGTTAAAAATAAAAAAAACTTACCTTTATAACTTGATATGTCCTTTCAAAATCCTTCTGTCTCAAACACATCTGTATGAGAGATTCTGGTGGGGCAAGCATATACTTCAAACATTTATCTTTGAACTTCCTTTCATTTTTGACTCTGTGTACCAACTCCAGGCGCCATAACCCATCAGTCACACACTTATGTAACTCTAGCATTTCTTTGTACTCTTTGGATTGTTTGTCATATACTTGTTGCTGTTGCAGTTCATCAAGAATTTCTTTTACAAGGAAAAGTATCAGACGTATATCTTTTTCTTTGCAAATATACTCATCCTTGGTTTCAAATGTCTTCAATTGGCAAGATTTGACAAAAATTATTCTGAATATGTTCTGTAACAGACTGATCTGCCATAGCTTATCCTTGATGTCCAGTAACTTTTGTTTTATACTGGTAACAGATAATGAAATGTTTATACCTTGAATCTCGCTTTTTATGCATTTGAATATAGTTGAGAAAATGTGAAATGCTGTAAACTCTCTTGAGTACTTTGAATTCTCACAAATGCTCTCATTCTCAATTACCTCAATCAAAACATCCTCATAAACTATTGAATTCAAATTGAAGTAATTTGAGAATGTCTCCAAAACAGAGTGTGTGCTAGCATAAAAAAATAATTCTGTAAGATCAAGTGAAGGCTGTAAGTTTTCACAAAATTTAGTTATATGCAAAAAATGTCTTATAAATCCTATAGCTTTTTGCCAAAATGGATCAATGTGTAGAAAAGGTCCACTATCTAAAATAGGCTTTAGCTGCTCAAAATCTATATGTGGCTCACTCAATATTTGGATCAACTTTAAAATTTCAACAGTCTCATATATTGTTTTGGATAAAATGTTCTTGTAGTCACAGTAATCTGTTATTAATTTTTCAATCCAGTGTTGTTTTTTGTAAATACAATATTCATAGAGAGATGTAGTATCTTGAATACACAGTTTGTATATTTTTTTGTCATATTTCAGGCAGATTTGAAGAGTCTCAGTGTTATCATTACTCAACAAAGCTAGATAAAAAATATCTTTTCTGCATAAGTTCTGTTTGTACAGCTCATATATCTTTGGTAAAATGGTTTCATAGAAATAAAATGCATCTTCTTTTCTGCTACATTTTATCTTAGATAGTGTATGAATAATTTGTTGAGAGTCTTCAACTGGATTACGTTCTAGCTCTTTCAACACGTCTTCTAAACTGGAAAAATACATAACATTTTCATTGCCTTTAAAAAAATACACACTAGTAAACTTACCAGTTCATTTTATCACTTCATTGTCATCCGATGCAGATCACATTAATAGAGTATCAGAATCAATAAGACTGTTTGGTATTATTAAGTCAGCCAAAACAAATATTATACTGATAAATATTCTGATAAACTTTGAACATTACTTCTCTGGTTTTTTGTTTTGATCAGGTCATCTTTCAAAATATTGGTTAACGATAGTCAAGGCACAGATTATGTCAAGGTCGAAGATGGAAGAAAAGGACGTGAACATTCGGTAAAGCACGTGATCTACCATACATTTATTAGTTGAAAGCGAGGCGTAGTCAAAAGCTCCGCCCTTTATTCAAATGAAAACAAGTATCGAAGTCAAGAAAATGGGACGGATGTGATTAAAAAGGCATGGCCTTCTTTTCAATCCGCCTTATATTCGACGAGGGAAATGGATGTATAATTTTTTATTCAGCCTTTTTTTTTGGCTAAGCACAGCTCTATCTAAAATGTCATTTGTCATTTAACCGCATTCATCAGTCACTTTTTTTCATGGTATTTTTACGTTTTTTCCAACGGATTTTGATGAAAGCGTGATATATTCTTATATAACTAATCTCATTAATCAGCTTATAAGAATACTTTACAAATATATCAGCTACAGGTAAATAAATGTCTGCTAGATAAGTTTTTAATGCGTGTGCCAATACCTAACCATCAAATGTCATATGGACATCAAGAGCAGTTAAAGAGATTCGTATTTTCTTCGAAATACAACAATAGAGGAGATTCTCAGGAGGAAAAGTTGGAAATCGTTATTCCTGAGGTACCAGTATAACATGTTTCAGGGAACTAGATATTGTTTACTAACCATTTAACACGTTACTAACTTCTGCCAGTGGTATCTTCTTCCTTTCATGAATTAATACTTAAACACCCCGACGTATGTAGGTCCTTGATAGAACAGAACCAATAAAGAAAACATTAAAATTAATTTATGCATTTTCACTGCTCTCATAAAAGGACAACTGCATCTATAGTGTACTGTACAGCTTAGATATAAGCTAGGAGCTAGGGCTTAAGGAGTATGTGGTAATACATACAAATTATTTGTCTTCATTTTTATTTCTTTATGCTAGGTAATTCTCTAGCTTAGCGGTACCATACATTTTCGATGAAAAATGATTTCAAACGCTAGTTTTTGGGTGTAAATGAAGGAAATTGGACTGAAAATGCGTGCAAACATGAAAGTTCTGAAATATTTTACTATATAATAGGTTTTTATTGAATGTTTGTTTCCAAAGGCTGTGCTATGTTGCCAGATTTCATTACTTCATAGGTTTTCATGTCGATGGATATTCTTGATAATTAAATTTGTATGTATGATTTCGAACTCGACACAACCTGACATAACGCCTAAAGGCGATGACTGACTGAAGCCGAGCGCTGTAATGTAATGCTCACATCAAGTGTTACATTACATAGTTCGTGATTTGAGTCCAGCGAATGTTCACTTGAAATATTCAGCTCAATAGTGCTCCAAATGTATCTGCTGCAGTCTGTCGAAATGTCAGACCTAGAAGTAGCTAGTGCTGCATTCATATTATTGGAATATTGAAGACAGATTTATTTAAAGGAAGAGATGTAAATGGTGGTGGGACATTAATAGATATCTTAAAAAACCAAGGGCATGTTTCTTGATTTTGTTATAATATTGCACATGTTATATTTCTTCAATATGGCAACATTGTGGAATGAATAGGATCCCTTCCATTCTGCAAATGCCATGATTAAGGTGTTTTTTATAATTTTTAAGACCCAGATAATATCTACAATATTCTGCAACTAACCCATTTGCAGGCATTTTAATCTCATTTACAACCCAAACCTAGTGCCTATTCTGATGGTGAAACAGAAAAGGCTGGTGTAGCTAAGCTAGAGAATTACCATAAATTTGTTCTTAACATTCAGTGTAATGTCAAGGTCCTGAGATAAAGGTCTTTTTTTTCAAATGAGAACCTATATTTTTAACACAATTACGTATTATTTTAATTCCATGTATATCCTGAAAGATTTTAGTATATCCTTCAAAGATCAAATATAATCAAACCATTTTGACTTTGTCAAATCTGCACTCTTGGTTTTTTCTGTTATCATTTATAATGAACTAATATTATTATCATGCATTTCAAATTGTTCTAAACTTTTGCCATGATTGTGACTTGGAGGTTAGTTCTGTCCTTGCAGAGCACTTTCACTTGATGCTGCAGGGGGCTGATAATGGTGAAACACAGAACTCTATTGAATACTCAAATAAAGAAGACTGTACTTATTCTAGCTGGCACTGTAGAGCACAGCTAGTCTTCATTCAGGGAAGAACGGCAACTGTAGCCCCAAGAGGCACTACCCTGCCTGTTCTGTTCATATTTTGAGTCAATGACTGAATGAAATGATGATGTTACTGGCCACCATAAGCATAAGCCATTTAAACGGGCCCTTGTGCACCTCTACCTTCCTTAGACCGCAAGCCTCGCCATGTTCTGGGGGTCCAAAATGATGGGCCCCAGCATAGTCTGCGTCTTCCTCTATCCTGCAGCGCTCAAACAAGGCATCCTCAGCCACGCCTAACGCGTGCGGATGGCGCCTTAATGAGTTATGGCCAGACAGCAGTCCTTAGATTGGCTCTATATGAAGATAAGAAAAAACGTCCAACACTTAGAACTACAATGAGCTCCCTGTGGAGATGCTTGTCCATTTCTGAGAGTGTTGTCTTGCAAACCACTTGTCCATTTTCCTCCTAACACTTTGTCTAGGTACCCCTAAAGCTGGTTCAGGATCAGTCAAAATATGGAATGGGATTTGAAAAGACATTTAACCTTTAGATAACCTTCTAAGGTCAATGTTAAATACAATATGTACTTATAATATTCAGGAGAAAATTCAGTGAACTGGTCAATTTGCTTTTCCAGGGTTTATTACCTGTTATCATTTGTTTTTAAATAAACCCTCAAATGACCTTGATTAAGGACAAAAAAAAAGGTCACCATGAGCTAGCCGGGGTCAAATATATTCAAGTAGTTTTGGACTTTGTCTTTTGTAACATTTTCTATACAGTTTCTCTATTTGATCATCTAAGATACTTGAAACTGATGTTTACTATCTACAAAATTGTTACAGTTACTACAAGCCAGCTATTCTTTCTACACTTGGCCTTCAGCACCAGCACTTGCTTGGTTCTTGTGGGAAAATCGTCACGAATTATCAGGAAAAATAGTTCTGGAGCTGGGTTCTGGAACTGCACTTCCAGGTTTGTGACTGATGATAGAAAAATATACTGAGAATCTAGATGTTTTGTTCAGTAGCCTCCGTGGGCGTCCCTCGGGATTTGTCTCGGGAAGAACCGATCATCGCCAAGAGATAACTTTTTGTGAAGATGTACCTGCCCCTAAAGGGAGGGTTGGAAATGTTTGTCAGTGGGGGCCAAATCCTCAAAATTGTACACAAAATCATGCTAAATATGCAATTTTTAAGGTCCGACCGGATTCCCCTGGCCCCCTACGGGCGCCCATGGCAGCAGTTGCTTCCATCCAGGAGCGGATCCAAGATGATGCATTATGAGTCGGACGCTGATGGGATTCATGGATAATATTCTCACGCTTCTGAAGATATGGCACAAATGTGAGGTTCTAGTATCTGCTGGATATACTGTTACACCATCAAACCTCTTCTGATGAAAACTAGACGTAACTTAGATCCAGGTGTAATCGCGCCTGAAACTATAGCTCCTAGAGGTAGACGCACCTGACTTACGTTACTTGTTTCTGCGTCGCACCTTCTGACTGGTGCTCATCATCATACATACTTGTACTGATAGACCATTCATCATCGCAATGTTCCCTATCTCGACCCTGTTTAGGAATACATAATATACGCGCACAAGTCAAGAGACGTCGCAGAGAAAGACTTAATATGAAGCTTTCATTTGAACGCCACATACACCAAACTGTAGCTGTTATGGTTTCTACTACCATTACATATGGAGACACTAGAACCTTATCTTTTACCATTTCTTCAAATGTTCGAGAACCTTATTTTACAATATAATGCCCGTCCCCAAATTCATAGAGCTACAATGGACTCTCAATAATGCTCAACACAGCCCCTGTTCTTGTCGTCAAAGATCTCCAGATATGCCCATTGAACATGGGGTATGATGAACAAGTGCCAGCAGGTCTTTGAAACCAAATACAGCGACCTAAGGATAAGGTCCTTCAAAAAGACCAATCATTTCAGATACATGCTGCAATGACTAGAGAAAGGTATAGAACTTGGGGTGGCCCAAGACGTTATTACAGAAGTCCAGCAATACAGCAAACGTTTTCACCTTAAAACTCGATTCCCTGGTCTCTAAGTGACACATATGCAATATAAAAAGTCTAACTTGAGTCTTAAATTCCTGTAGTCCCTATTGAGACACCTTTTACTTTTTTCTAATAAGTGTGCATTTTGAAACAAAAAACAAATTTGTTTCAGGTATCCTAGCAGCAAAGTGTAACGCAAGTGTCACCCTAAGCGACTCGGCCACCCTTCCTAAATCTCTCGCCCATATCAAACGCAGCTGTCAACTGAACAACCTAGTTGTAGGCAGAGACATTAAAGTAGTAGGTCTAACCTGGGGGCTCTTTCTCAGTGATCTAGACTCTCTCTGTCCACTGGACCTTGTTCTGGGGTCAGATTGTTTCTTTGAACCTGCCACATTTGAGGATATACTGGTGACTGTCTCATATCTGCTGGAGAAGAATCCTGCAGCAAAGTTTGTCTGTACTTACCAGGAGAGAAGTTCAGACTGGTCTATTGAGCATTTGTTGGCCAAGTGGGATTTGGTGTGTCAGGTACAGAGTATATATAATGTAGGAAAAATGAAATAATAGGATCTGATAGCCATACTTGTCACTTGTATGCTAACTAGTCGCTAGCCATTGCCACGAGTACTCGCTGTGAGGGCCATCTATGGAGGAATGGCACAACTACCTATGGTGGATGTTAGACCTTAGAAGCTATTAATGGCCTGCGCTAGTGTCATCTCTGAAGCAGATAACTAAATATGCTGCTTTCGTCTTTTGAACCACAGACAGCCAACAATGAATAACTGTTCCGTGCTTTTTGACAACTGATCAGCATGGTGTAGGTTTAGTCTTTGGGACAACGAATGAAAGCATAGTAAGTATCCTCGGTCGGATGGATGAAAGCAGCATGCTCAATGGCGATTAGATCACATCTACTATACCGCCTGAATCGTCAGCCTCTAACAGTAACGCGAACCGAGATCGTTACAGGTCCAACTGATAGTTGCTATACACTCTCGCAGTGGTCGACTCTAATACTAGATGGCGCTTTGATAGATCTCAGACCTTGGATAGAGGATAGTTGTTGTACTTTTGTTCATTGACCCAGAGACTAAGCCTAGAAGATGCTGTGGTCACACGGACGAAAGTAGAACTCTTCAGAGTCTTATATAGAGAAAGGTTTGAAATTCAATCAAGACACTTGTCAACATCAACAATAATAACAGGGTACTAAGCTTTGAATTTGGAAATTGGCAAATTTATCCCACAAATGCAAGATTTTCGCCCCATCTATTCATGCTGTCGCCCAAAGACAATTCACTCAAAGGATTTTTATATGGTCTCTTCTACCAGGATTTACTCTGCACTATCAGCAATACACTATCGCAGTGGTTAATTCTGTTAGGTGATATGTAGTTCGTGCTGTCTTACTTTGATAGGTCTCAGAAGCAGGTGTTAAATCACATAGCTTAAATATATTGGCGTATAAGCAACACACTCAGCTGCTACAAGTAAACACAAAGTAAACAATAGCTAGTTCCATAGAGCTGAGAGCATTATGGTGATCAGATCACTATCCTTATTATTTTCCAGCTATGCAATAAGGGTAGAAGAATATATAACAATTTAAGAAAAAAACACAGAAATCAAGACAATTATACAGGGTGTTCCTTAATGATATGCGAATATTTAAGGGTGTGAATCTACATGAAAAATTAATGTTAGTTTGCTTTATAAACTATGGTCCAAAAATGTTTCCTTACAAAAACTCGGGGTGTTGAAGTTTTAGGAAAAAAATGGAAATTAATTAATATTTTCAGAACCACTTCAGATATTTCACTGATATTTAGTACGTAGTGAAAGTTAATAAAGTTGCATATTTTTCAATGAAAAATACTTTTTGGCTTTAACAGTAGCATGCTTACGGGTATTGACTGACTGAAAATCGTATGCCAAAGGTTTTTATATATATGATTGGGAGTATCCTCCTCTACCACGCAATATACGCAGTTGGCGTACTCTTTCTTCCCTACCCTCTTAGGTAGCTGTCAAACCAATGATGTCCTGTGAGGAATTTTGCAGTACAGAAATCTATCCGCACCGCTCCCCTGCAATCCAAGTTTTAGTATCTGGGATCAGCCTTCTAGTCTATCTATATGTTGCATCCCATTTTTCCTGCTATCTGACAAAAAACGCCCCTCTTTCTTCGCTTCTAGCTTCGGCGCTGTTTTTATAGATTGTACATCTCTCCATCAGCCAGCAAATCAATTGGCGAAATACCAGCCACCACCAGTAATGCATCGGGCGACACCGTTCTTTAGGTGCAGACCACGCACATCACCACTTTTTGCTGGCTTCTGAGCATCAGTTGTCTGTTTTTCTTTTTCCTCGGGGCCTTATTATAAATATGGGCTCCTAGCACAGTCCCCTCATTGCACAATAACTGCCTAAAAAATTCGATTAGCAGCTACGTTGCAGACTTTATTTGAAACTGAGCTATACATAAATATGACTTGTTGTTTTAGGGAGCCTGGGAAGCAGTAGCAGTAATCAGAATCTAAATAGCAGCATTCCGAAAACTTCTACGATTTTCCCTTCTGGTACTCAATCTAATAATAGGGAAGGATCACCATCAACTCCAATAAATATATATTTTTGAATTCCCCGTTCAATTTAAAACAAATGATCTCTCTACTCTGAAATGCGCTGGTGCACCATCATGCATGTACCACATATTGTTTCTTATTACTAACGGAACATCATCAAGCAGTAAAGGCAACTGTTTTTGAAGAAAATTGAGGTAAGTCTGTCCGTCAAGTCGTCCCGGCAAGAAGAATGGGCCAATAAAGTGGTTGCCAATAATTCCTGCCCATACGTAAACCGAAAATTGGTGTTGGAAATAGGTTTCGGTTACGGCATAGGGATTTTCTTCTGCCCACAAATGATTATTATGGAAATTCTGAATGGCATTTCGGAAAAAATTAGCTTCGTCCGTGAACAGAATCATTGATTCAAATTTCGAATTTTGTGAAATTTTTTGAAGATACCACTGACAAAAAGTCACACGCCTTGGAAAATCAATGGGAAGTAATGCCTGTACTCTTAAAGTATGGTAAGGATATAACAAAAAATCCACTAAAATTCTCCAAACAATTTGATGGCAAATATTTAAGTGTCTAGCAATGTTCCTCGAACTCGTTTCAGGATGTTCTTCGACTTCCTGCAGTACTGCTTCCTCTATTTGAGGTGTTATCACACTTAGAGGTCTACCTTCAGATGTTCCTTTTCGGACAGAACCAGTTTCAAAAAGACGACGATGAATATTAGAAAAGGTTCGAGTATCTGGTAAAGCGCGATCGGGATATCTCTGGTGATAAATCCGTCTGGCTTGGTCACCATTACCGTCGGCAAGGCCATATACGTAATGCATTTCCGCCATTTCTTCATTTGAATAATTCATCATTATTAACAAGATTGTAAAAACTAAATAATGAAAAAGATGTCACAGCGAACAGATTTGAATAACAGAGACTTGTCAGATGTCAAAAGCCTATAACATATTCCAGAGCAACTAGATATTTATTGCTAAATTGCATTCTTCAATTATTACATTAATTTTCTCGGACAATATTTTTTTTACTCAAAAATGGCGCATCGAAGGAAAACAATTCAGGAGAGATCATTTGTTTTAAATTGAACGAGGAATTCAAAAATAATTTTTATTTGGCAAAAAACCATTGGCGTACCATTTTTTTCTTAAAAAATGTCGTCAGTCAATACCCGTACGCACGCCACTGTTAAAGCTAAAAAATATTTTTGCATTGAAAAATATGCAACTTTATTAATTTTCACTATGTACTAAATATCAGTGAAATATCTGAAGCGGTTCTGAAAATACTAATTTTCATTTTTTTCCTAAAACTTCAACACCCCGAGTTTTTGTAAGGAAACATTTTTGGACTATAATTTATAATGTAGATTCACACCCTTAAATATTCGCATATCAGTAAGGAACACCCTGAATATGCATCACAGGTACGGACTTAAAATGTATGCTTTTGATTTAAACAAAAAATCCTGTATGCTGTACATGGGCTACATTTTAACATTATTTCTAATACTCCTCTTAAAGCCACCTCGCAAACTAGAAATACAATAATGGAGAGTGTTGTATAAATCGATCCCAATTGATCTCTATTGGCTCTGTACCCAGGATTTATAAACTGTTTTTATTTCTTGTATCATATCAATGAAAGTATCTGTCTAATATATCATACTATATACTTGTGTGGATTATATTTTCATATATTATCAATGCAATACAGTGAATATCTCAAGCTAATGTATTTAAAAATGTCATGAGAATGCTTGCTATTTTTGGTCATAACTATACAGCATACGGCTCTTTGTTGTGGGACTAGAGAGGAAATAATATTTAGTCCTCTGATATTTTTAAAATGATTTGTCAGAATTAATATTCGCAATTTTGAAGATGCCTTCTACTTCAGGTGCATAACGTGAATAACCTAGGTTCTTCAGCCGGTCTGGATATCCACGATCTCGTGGGCAATCACAGCATCCATCTTTTGGAAATAACCAAAAAATCTTAAATGGCATCAAATGCAGCTCGCAACCTGTACAAATTGTATGTGGGAAACGTCCCGTGGACAGTAGGCAACAAAGAGCTGAAACAGTACTTCAGCAAGTTTGGACACGTCCATTTGGCCAATGTGATATTTGATAAGAAGACAGGACTTAGCAAAAACTACGGTATGTATTAATAATAAATTGAATTTCCGATTGGTAACATACAGAGTGTTCATTTGAAAACTTCCCACCACGGATTTATCGAAAACCACTGATTAAAAGAAAAACGCGGAGACACCTCAAAAGATTTGTCAAGGGCGACAACTTTTTAAACAAAAACTACTGCACCCTCCTTTCACCCTAGGCCCTCCAGGGTCATTCACTTCACAATTTTATATGACAAGGGGTAACGAGTAATAGATTGTTTCAAAAGTCTTTCGAAGTCCTTTATTTTGAAGTTTGATTTTTCAAAATCAGCCGATTCGTTTTTGAGAAAATTAGAAAAATCCTTGTTTAACTTAATTTGTTCAGATAGAAAACAAAAAAAAACGCACGAAAATATCACTTTTTATTTCAATAAGTGTTCAAAATGTTGCCCGTCAGGGTTTGCCAAATCTACAATTCATTTATAATTTAAAACGGAAACCACCAATATAAACAGAATTCGGAAGATTAGAGGTGGCAACAACCAAATAACAACCCGAAGAAGAAAGAATTTAATTTGCTGTCAGTTACCTTTGTGCCAATCTTGGGATAGTGAAAATTAATTCATTGATTCGGATGTTACTTCTAAAATGGTTCACGTACTAGCCGAAAGAGTTGAAATGATTCTAATTTATGGTGCCCAAAATCAATCTGCTCGACAAACTGCCGACACGTTTAACGCCAGAGATCCGGGGAAAAATAACTTCGCATAGGTATGTTTTGGACCTTGTTACTAAATTTACTCAAACTGGATCTGTTGTAATTGAAGTATGAAAGCTTTCACGGCTAATTCTGTCATAGGTTTTTCGGGCTGTTGAGCCATGGTCGGGTTGGATTTGATCCAGAGCTTTCGGCTACATCTGCGGTAGCCATCATCAGTGGCGCAGTCAGCGAGAGCGAAGTGCTCGGCTTGGCGAGTCCACTGAAACTGGATCTGTTGCAATTAAAAAAACGTGATCATCAGAGTTTTGGATGAAGCCGCTCAAGTTTAAGTTTTGGGTCATTTTGGAATAAATCCTAATACGCAAAATTGTTGCTGTGACTGGTATTTCATTAGGCTTCGTTCACACAGTCAACTAACCTCCATAAATTTCATCCATTCAAAATGAAAATATTGCAAAAGTTAACCGAAGATGATTCCGATAGGCGAGTTGAGTTTTGTGAACAAATGTCAGCAGCGATTAATGATAGTACCATTCATGTAAAGAATATCTGCTTCCGTGAAGAATTCACATTTTATTTAAATGGATTTGTTAATAAGCATAATTGCAGGTATTGGAGCAATGAAAATCCTCATGCTTTTGTAGAAGGGCATACCCAGTACCCCCAAAAAATTAATGTAGGGGCAGGCATTTTAGAAAACAAAGTGATCGGGCCATTGTTTATTAATGGAAATTTGAATTAAGACCTTATTTGGATATGTTGCAAAATACCATCAATCTTATCACTGAAACCATTTAAAACCAAATCGAAGAGTATGGAAAGCCTATAGATACTACTTGATGAGGCTGAAATATATTTCCAACAAGACGGCGCTCCTCCTCACTATGTTCTTCCGGTTCGGCAATGTCTAGACGACGAGTTTCCAGATAAATGGATAGGGCGAAGAAGACATATAAATTGGCCTGCTAGATCTAATAATTTGACGTCATTAGACTTTTTTCTAAGGATCCAGTTTTATCTGTTGTGTTTACTCCCCAACCTGAAAGTATGGATGCACTCATTAAACACTGCCACGATATCCCACGAGTCCGTATAGAATTTGAACATCGCCTATATCATTGTTAGGCCAATATCGGCCAACATTTTGAACTTTTAATGAAATAAAAAGTGATATTTTCGTGTTCTTTTGTTTTCTATCTGAACAAATTAAGATAGACAAAGATTTTTCTAATTTTCTTGAAAACGAATCGACCGATTTTAAATAATCAAGTATCAAAATAAACGACTTCGCAAGACCTTTCAAACAAGCTATTACTCGATACCCCTTGTCGTCTAAAATTTTCAAGGAAATGACCCTGGAGGGCAGAAGGTGAAAGGGGGTGAAGTCGTTTTTGGTTAAAAACTTGTCCCCCTTGATAAATCTTTTGACGAGTCTCGGCGTTTTTTCTTTTAATCAGTGGTTTTCGATAAATCCGTGGTGGGAAGTTTTCAAAAGAACACCCTGTATATGTTCTTGCATGTTTTGATTATAAGATTTTGACTATAAGACCTCACCACCAGTATAATTGAGCAACTGATAGCATTGGTTAACGTATTACACAAAGATGAATTTTGAAATCTTCTTTGAAAAAAGTTAGTTTTTTGTTCTGCTACTGTCTCATGGATGGCGCAAGGATCTTCAATCTTTTTTTTGCATCTCTAATGATTCATCTGAATTCTAAACTGTTCAGTGTCTTGTCATTATTTGTTTTATTTTATTCTCTCTCTCTCTCTCTTATCTCTCTTATGCTTCACTCATAAATCTTTATATTTTTCAATTCACTATTATGTAGTTAGTGCCTGCTTACCTGTGTTTGTATTTACGCATAATTATTCAATTGTTAGCATGTATTGCTTGTAATGATAATAAATGACTTTATTGCATCATTAACATCGCAACGTAGCATTAGTCTAGCCATTGACCAAATATGTCAACCAAAATTTGAAAATATAAAAAAAGTTTAATTTTAGTATTTGAGGCGCCAAGTTGCAAAACCCGCTTTATCCAGTTTTCAAAATAAATTGAGGTAGTAAATAATATTAATGGTAGACTTTGAATCTTGATAAATACAGCCACAAAATGCAATAAAAGCCGTATTTAAAATTGAGTGTAAAAATGTATAACTGCGGCAAAATCCGTCTTATCCGTTGATACACGTTCATTGTGATAACGGTTACACCTACGCTAGTATGATGTTACTGCAGCCTTATCCATATAAAGTGTCCGATAAAGGATTTCATAATTTTGGGAACGCTGCACTTACTCGTGACATCAGAGAATCGCAATCGCAGAAGAAGAAGAAACTGATTTAAGAGTTTAAATTTTTTTTGTCGTACGTACATACGGAGTTTTATTTTTGTTTAATACCTATATAAGCTTTATTATTTTGATAATAACGAATATGTTTCTAAAGAAAGCTATTTTTTTATTAAAGCATTGTTTAATATTGTTTTTTTTTTTAATTTAATAAAATACACAAATATACAAGTTCGAAAGCAAAACCAGCAATATTCGCACCTTGCTGTGGCAAAACCTGCAATATGCATCCTACTGCAAAAAACACTCTTTGTCCAATTTTTGTTTGTTTGTTTGTTTTTTCCTTGTAAAATAAAAAAATACGATTATTTCTGGACAAAATAGATGCAAAATTACAACATATGGACATATTTTTTCAAATGCCGCCTGTAACTTCGGGTAAAACAGTTTTTGTCGATAATCTCGAAATCAAGTTTGTGGGATAAGGCGGGCTTTGCAACTTGACGCCTCATATATATAATACTATAAACTCTAAAAAAGTCTGAGTATGTGATAAAGTATTAAATACTTCTGAAATGGCAGTGTCAGTGTGTGTTTGAAAATATGTATATATATTGTTATTCTTAATGTAATGATAATTTGCTGTATTCCTAATATTGACGTATAATATTAGCAGCATTATACAGGGTGACGGGAAAATAGATGCGGAGCCGGTGGGGGGAGATAGTACAAACCAATCTGAGTCGATTTTACTATCCGAAACTTAGCCGTTTTCGAATAATTCTAATTTTTAAGATTTTATAAAATTAACGTTAACCAAGTCATAAAACTTGAAAATTGGGTGTTTCATTTGATTATATGAGTAAGAGCGTTGAAACGTGGATATGCAATGTCTTGGTGTGGATAAAGAGCTTGTATACCTTTATACCTGTAATTTAAAACATAAATACTTGTTCTAAATGTTGGCTTGTTCCATAAACGTAGGTGAATGAGTGGTTATAATAAATTTTATAAACGACAGAAATAAATATTTAAATAGGTTATTAATTTTGAGCCATCCTAAATATTTGATTGGACCAGTTACATGATCATATTTTCTAAGATTATTTGTTAACCTGCAACACGAATTTTGAATTTTTTGTAGTCTTTAGGTGAACATTTGATCTAAGCAAGGCAAGGATAACGTTATAATTCCATATGAAATTTAAGGAAATAATTAAAGATTCACATAATCGCTTTTTGTTTTAAAAACTGAATTGCCTGTTGGTATATAACAGTCAGCCTAAAATAGCATATTTTGACAAGGCTGTCTGAAGGTACATTCTGTAAATTTGAGATACTTGTGCTCAAAACCACCTGTTGCTGTCTGTTTTTAAGATATGATGCTAGGGAACATAGTGCTGGTTTATCAAGAACAAGATAAGTACACTTGGCTAGAAATAGATCGTGGATTATAGTGTCGAATGCCTTATTGTAATAATTGCTTTATTTTGATTTTATTAATTAAAGGAATTTTATTGACGTATTCCACTTGAAGATGCCCAATTGAAACAGGCAAAAAGGGATTGAACATCTTAGTGCCATCTATGAAACAGTTGCAGAACCAAACGCTCATAGCTCTTTTCAGAGTAAATTTAAAAATGTATTTCTTTGTTCTCCTACTCTCATATACGTTAATCAATGATGATAAGACAGTTCGATCGTCACTATCAGCTTGTCCAGTACAATATTGAAATATTCATAGATTACTTAATAAGTATATGAATTTGGCATCCTTAAAAATTCCCTTTTCAGGTTTTGTGTCGTTCAGTAGCCGTGAAGCATTTGAGAACGCTACAAATACGACACATAAACTAGAAGGTAATAATATACGTGTTCAACCAAGTAGTAACACAAATTAAGCTGTAAGAATGGCCGAGTTCGTAGACGATTTTAGTGATTTACAGGAATTAGGTAGGCCCATTTGTTGATATCATAGTTATGTAACCTTAACAAAAAATGTTGTTTCTGCTACCTAACAAAAGAAACCTCTATTATGACTTGTCGTGAACGACTCTGATTTTGTTTAACCATCTCTGTAATATTTACATATGTAGAGTTATGGTACATTTCCAAATAGAATGCCTGATAATTCTATATAAATAGTAATATATTATATTATATAACCATCTACTTTTTTTAATGCTTTACAATTACCATTCTAGGTATAGATATCCATGAAAAACAAGATCCCCTAACAGTAGCTTTCAGTAAAGCAGCAGACCATATGCAAAAATTGGTGTCTAAGTTGGACAGTGACACATTGCTGAGTCAGTATGCCCTGTATAAGCAGGTATGGTTTACATTGTATTTACAATCTTTGACAGAAATTAACCTGGATTCTTACACGCAGAAAAAGCAATGTGGAATGGTTATCTTCTGTCAGTATTCCAAATAAAAATCAGATCCTGTTGTTCCATTGTTAATATTATTGAATGTACCTATAATATAGATTAACTTTCGGCTGTTAAAATTGCAATACCCCATTATTTTTTGTTTTGAAATTGGCTTATTTGAAGTCGAGAATTTTTCCCTATTTTCTTGACATGTTTCAAATTGTCTTCTTCTCTTGACATAGTTTATCTGATCGCATGGTTCTATCTCATTATATTTAATGTCTCCTAGGCCACCGAAGGGCCCTGTACCATTCCTCAACCCAGCTGGTTTGACCGAAAAGGTCGCGCAAAATGGGACGCCTGGCACAAACTTTACCGAATGCCCAAAAACGAAGCTAAGAAACTGTACATAGAGGGCATAAAGAGAGTTGATCCTCATTTTTCGCATGAAGATAGTGGCGACAAAGGTTGGGTAAAGGTATCTGCACACGAGCGGCCAAAAACGCCGGAGGTGCAGAATGCTATTGATCATGTGAAGAGGTGCAATGTGGATGCCCTTACTGAACATCTGGAGAGAAATCCTCATGAGGTGAGTGCATACTGTCAGTAGATCAGGTTAATAAAAAAAAATGAAGACTATAACTATTGTTGGCAATTATCTTTGAATTTGTTCATGCCTCGATCAGACGCAGAAGTTTCTTAAAAACACTGAGGAAGACAAATCAGCGAAGCCGATTTTGGCAAAAGTAGATCATCTAATCAGCCTCCAAAATTCAGGCAACCTCTTATTGATAATACATAATACTTTGTAAAAAGGTTTTATCCTATATCTGCTATCCTTTTTCTCGTATTTCACACCTTTCCTAAGAAATACATATTTTGAATGTATACAGAAACAATACATATTCAGTGACAGTAGAAGTGTTACACCCACAAAAAAATATTTCTTCTACTTAATTTTTTGGCAATGAGGCAGTCTTGCATCAAGAATGAAACGATAAGATTCTCACCGAATTTTATTGACAATAAGAAAAAAAATGTGTTGGGCAACCCCGCAGCTGAATACACTTCTGTACACGTCTAGGCATAGACAAAATGAGAAGATCGATGTCTGGTTGTGGCACCTCATTCCAAGCAACTCGAACTTCGTGGATTAGCTGTGGCAGAGTCTGTGGCGGATGGTATAAAGTGGAATGTCTCCTCCACGTCATATCCCACACTTGTTCGATGAGATTTAAATCCGGTGAACGGGGTGGCCACGGCAAAACATTAACGTCTGCCTCTTGAAGAAAGTCCTTAGTACGACGAGCAATATGGGGACGCGCGTTGTCTTGCTGAAAAAGGACTTGTGGACGGCCCTCTAGATACGGCAGTACTGTGGCAATAACTAAAAATATCTGTACTACTCAGCTGTCAGAAACTGCTTTCTTTACAAAAACTAAGAGATAACATTTTAACAAAGGTAAACAAAAACAGAGATAAAACGTCGACAGTGTTGCCACAGCATGCTTTAAATATAGTCATTATGTTGCCAAAAACAAGTTGAAGAAATTATTTTTTCTGGGTGTAACACTTCTAATGTCACTTAGTATATTTTTGTTTTTCATTAATCGGGTTTCAAATTGAGTTGTAAATCTCAACGTGAAAACCACAAGACATTAACTGAATTGGATATTTTCGGATCAAATATGTTAATCAATGGTCTATTTATCAGATGATATGCTGTAGTGAAGTCACGAATATTATAATGGTTCTTTGATTCCTTAGGTGCACCAATTAGACGAAGAAGGCTTAGGGCTAGTCCACTGGGCCGCAGACAGTGGTCACAAACCTGTCCTGGAAATTCTGGTACGCAAAGGCGTCAACTTAGACCTGAAGGACTGCGACGGTCAAACTGCCCTACATTACGCTGCTAGTTGCGGTCACATGGAGTGTGTTCAGTTTCTACTAGAGGCAGGTTCCACGGTAGATGTGGAAGACAATGAAGGGAATCTTCCTATACATGTGGCTGATGATGCAGTTAGGGGACTTTTGAAGAAATCTTAGTGTTTTACTAGTTTTTGTACGGTTTAGTTCAATAAAAAGTTAATTTTATTCCAGTTGTTTTAATTGGACTTTCACTTACCTGATAACCATAATACAAAAAGTCGCAACTCATAATTTAGTGGAATAGAAGTACTATCTGTATAGCAGCGAATAAAAGAAAATACGAACTGTCACTGTGTCACCTGGAAGACAGATCCAATAAAATATATAAAATATATTGTCATTGTCAAGTGTATTTAAAAAAAGCCAACATGGCGGCCAATAAGTTTTTGAATCTGACAATACCATATCTAGAAGCTTATCCAGCTCATTGTATTTTTTATTTCGAATCGAAACACACGGAAATAAATTCATGTAAACATAAGCCCAAAAAAGTACTGAACGATAAGAATTTTCTGCTTTCAATAGTTGATCCTACATTTTTCGAAAACATGAATATACTGAGAGGAGTTTTAGTTGGCGTAAATGTGTTATAAAAGGACGCATTATATAAGCAATTTTAGGTTAGAAAAAATTGAATTTCAAGCATATTCTAATCTGCACGTTTCTCTTTTGTTACTAAACTGAATCGTGTAATATTCCGCATAGGGCTCTAAAAGTTATGTAGCTGGGGTTTCCCTTTTCAGGCACAACTAGCTTGATATAACAAAGCTAATGTGTGGTGAAACGTGAGCGAACAAATAAATGAAAAACTATTCGCTGTTCAGTTGAATTGCAATTCCAAGTACGTCTCTGTCGTAAAATCCGAGGAGCACATGTAACAAAAAAGAGATCAAAAGTATAAGTACATACTTTATAAGGACTGTTCGAAGCTTTCGCCATTGGATTCAAAAACACGTGCATGCTCGACGTGGCCAAGCATCGGGTTTTATAGTAGAGTCCCTTCCTCAGAATGCTCAATTATCAAAGGTAAATCGTCAACCGTGTGCACCTCTGTTTTGTACACCAAGCGTTTCATTTCGCCTCAATGAAAAAAATCACACGGTGTTAAGTATGGAGATCGCGGAGGCCATGCTACGGGTCTATTACGTCCGATCCACCTATTCGGAAATGATTCATTTAAGAACTCACGTACTTCGCGTCTAAAATGGGGCGGTGCACCGTCATCGAGAAACCACATTGATTGTCTTACACTCAAAGGCACATCTTCTAGCAGGGTTGGTAAAATCTGAAAAAGGCTAGGTATTATATCCCGTCCAACCGATTCAAGAGAATATGGTCCAATGAGCATGCCGTTTACCATGCCAGCCCAAACATTCTCAGAAAATGTTTGTTGAATGTGTGACCGACGGACAGCGTGAGGATTTTCTACTCACTACACAAGAGTATTACGGAAGTTATGCACCCAGTTACGCGTGAACGTGGTTTCGTCTGTGACTAATATACACTTCAAAAAGTCCGGATTATTGTCAAGTTGGTGCAACAACCACTCACAAAACCACACTCTTGCAGAAAAATCCTCAGCTTGGAGGGGGCTTTTACATGTTGCAGGTGAAACGGGTACAATCCCTCATTATGCATGGTTTGCCACAGTTTAGTCTTCGACACTTGCACTTGTCTACCCACGTCCCTAGTGCTTGTTGAAGGATTCTCGTCTACGAGATTCAGTACTTCTTCCTCAATTTGCACCATTCGGGGTTGTCTAGGTCTCCCACTGTGCCTACCTCGACATTCCTCCAAACGACCCTTATCCCTGATGAGTCTCTGAACAAGCTAAACAAATCTACGGGGCCTTGGATGATGATATTTGGGAAAACGATCTGCATACACTCGCGAAGCCTCGCTCGCATTTTGAAGACACTCACCGTAAATTAACAGAATGTCGACTAGTTCACTATTGGTGTATGAGTGTGCAATTTTTTTTAACAGCAATCGGTTACCAATGTAATGGTTTGTTGACCTGCGCTACCCGCGTCTAGGTTAGGTTGCATACTAGCGTAATTATATCGTAGTCGTACGTCGTATAACTGTACGCTGGCGCTGTGGACGTGATCGAGGGATAGGACCTGCTTCGGTTTGGTTCAGGTTTGATTGAGTTTACGGAGCCCAGTATCTCGGGTCTCTTAAGACATTGGTGTATATACTACTAAGAAAATCTGCTTATTTTCTCAAGATCTACACGTCGTGAAAAGGAAAACCTCAACTTTGTAGGCACCAATATATGAGCCGTTGCAAGCCAGGATGGTCCAAGTAAAAAAAAACGTTTCCGAGATAAAATGTATGTACTGAAGTTTATGTGCTGCTGATAAATCTAGAATAACAAAACTGCAGCGATAAACCAAAATGTCATTAAAGAAAGTATCAATTTGCGCATCTAATCGTAAAAAACTGTAGCATTTTGTGTTCATGCAACTTTTTTCTTGTGTTCAAGTTTTAGCCCACTTTGCCTTAAAACAGTTTTTATCTTTGGTTTCATTTTCTACTTCTTCATTAGCAGGAAGTGGTCCCAATATCTTATATATCTCATAAATTGGAGAAGTTCCTCCGTTTTTTTATTGTCATTTTTACAGGGAGAGGGAGTCATACAAGAGAGATAAGTTTATATTTTTGAACTTTTTGAGTGTGCCTTTCAGATATTGCTGGAGATCCATAACGTCAAATGAGGAATTTTCAGGTTCTTTTTTTTCAATGTGAAGCAATTGGATGCGGAGCCATGATACAGTGGCGTAATTATCTTTTTTTTCGTTTTTTTCACAGATTCCTCTAATGTTGAGAAGAAATCAGTCCTTTGCCTTTCATAGACGTAAAGGGGTTTCCTGGGTCTGCATTTTTTTATTGATGAGTACCAGCCTTCTGACACGAGCTTCCTCCGTTTTTACTTGATTCTGTTAGAGCACTGCATCTTGCCCGTACAATCAATATTTGCACATATTTTGGCAGACACCACCTTCCCGATATGCTCCTCAATGTGTCGTTCCTTTTTGACCTATTTGCTTACCTGATGATGACCATCCAAACAGCACAGAATTTTATAGTTGGTACTCGCTTTCGCTGACACTGAATGGTTCCTTTTCAGAATCGCTTAAACTCATCTTAAACAATGAAACTTCTAACGGTCGAATCGCCTTCGGAATGTAACCTATTGGAAACCAGAGAGGGCTAAGAGCTGTATCGTCAGTCGCTCCTACAATTTTAGGACGCCTTTATGGCCTCCTTGATTTTCAGTATTTTCTCTCCTTCAAAAAGGCTGGGGTATTTCTAAATTTCTACTGATCCGTGTCAGCTCTCCTTTTGTGAGGCTATGTTTCCTTTTTGAATTGTATGAAATGTCAGGCAGATATAACAGATAATATAAATAAAAAGCATGAACAATTTGATGCAAATAGATTTTATAACATCACCTCTAGTAGAGCGCTGACACGGAACATTAAAAAACTATGAAAATCAAGGAGGCCATAAAGGAGTCCTACAATTGTACGAATGACTGACGATACGGCTCTAAAGGCCTATTCATACTCAGTCGTGACATGTCAGTGCTGTGATCGGCACGTGATCCGCCCGGCGAAAGTAAAAAGATTCTTCCTGGAATTTGGATGAAATGATTCATCGGCACGTGGAAGTGGCAGTGTTCTCAGTGCCTTCGGCGACGCCGTACCGTGATCATCGCATTGTTTTGCAACGATATTTTTCGATTTTCACGGCCGCGTTTTTATGTAATTCCGTGAATATTTTGATATAATTGGTCAAAAACATGAATGATGAAAAACTAATTGAATTTGTACGCGTACATCCCGTGCTGTAGAACCAGTCAAATTCAAAATACATGGACTTGTACGCAAACGAACTTTCTAGATAAGAGTTGTTAGCAAGTACAAAATGAATCGGAATCATACAAAACAATATACGGTTCCGTCTACCTGGTCTTGACGAATCTGTCAGAATAATGTGTCATCTGGCGATATGGGGACTTTTAACATAACACTTAATAATCTGCTGTCATTCTACCGTAATGATACTCGTGAAAACGACCATACGCAGCCTCCCCTTAAGTTCTTATTAACGAACATTACGAAAAACTCCATTAAACACTTTTTAAGCATAATCAAAATGGCTTTAAGTAAACTACACTTATTTTTGTAAAAACATTGATGAACAATTTTTCGCTGAACAAAGTATAAGCTAGAAATCGATACAAAGACAAAACTAGAGATGATAGATACATGATTTTTGAACACTAATGTTCCAAAGGCCGATATATCCAAAGTCAAATGCGAAAGTAGTCATATATTATCATTATGACAAAATTCCGTTTGTGGTGGTATTCTGTGAAATAAGAAAAAAAACAGTTTGAGCCAACGCAATGGCATACAGCACTTACATGAGTGATTGATCCTATAAAATTAAAGAACATCTACTCAATCCTCGAAATCATGAAACGCAATGTTCACAGACCAGAGTTTTCTATCTCTTGCATGCAACATGCACTTTAGGAAGCATGTTTAACCTGCGTGAGTCGCATCTTGATTTATTTTAAAGAGCAAAAAGTCGTTAGTGTAATTTGTACCCTATGCAAAAACCTGAAGAGGTTACATTGATAGAATTAATGAAAATTTGCATTTATAGTTTTTTCAATTCGATAATTTTGTTCCTCATTAACTTTCTGATTTGTATGGGTCGGCCCATGGTCCGATTGGACCTCCGCAAATTAGGCCGGTATACATATCGTTTGATCTCCTGTTTAAATACTGTTTGCACGTACTTTTCATTTTTTGTGCTGAATCTGCCTTAAATTTTTCAAAACAAATGTCTTGGAAAAAAGAGAATTATCACATTTTAAAACAAAAACTTTATTATCGGCTCGAAGCTAACATGTAATATATACATAGAATGAAAAAACCTACAGGACAACTATTTTGATCTAAAATTTTCCATACATTTTAAATGTTTCCTGGGAATGTACCATCCTCCCTCTGCTGGTCCCATCTCTCTACCCAAGCATTGGGACAGATCGAGTGGAAGACCTTTTTGAAGTAGTCGCAGGGGGCGTAGTTCTGACCGCGAATCTTCTGGCATCTGTGATAGTCCACGTAGCTCTGGTAACAGTACCGAGTTTGGTTGGTGTTTGGGAACCTGGGGTCAAACGGTGCTGTTTTCAGGTCCTCAAGTTTCAAAGCGGCAGCGGCTAGAGGCATCTTGATGGAAGATCAAGGCTGAAAGTCAAATATAAGTACATTAGAAAAACAACCCGACTGCAGTAAATGAAAAGAATCAAGGTTTGACTGTGCTATCATGATTAATCTAGATTCACCTCATATGTCAAAAACCATCAAGCCGTTTAAAGTTTAACCAGTGAAATAGGAATGTCAAGGTTGAATTTTTCTATTAAAAATATATGAGTTAAATTATAATAAATAATAATAATATCCTTAGTCCTTACACTTCCTTGTGTCTATATTCAGCAGTAATTCTGCTGAATGAAAAGTAACATCTACCTGTTTAGCAAACTATCAGATAACCACACATACAAGATTTAGGAATAATTTCCATCCTAATCATTTAAGGCTCAATGAATCGAATCTAGAAATGAAGTGAACTATCACTGAGTAGTATTTTAGAATCTGTTATCTGAAAAGCTCAAGAAGTAAAATGATGCACAGTTAAAAAGTAATATTAAAAAGTATATTGTGTGTAAAGCTTTCTACTCTTTTGACAAATTTATAACCTCATACTTTGGCTTCTCTAACATACGCTCCCATACGAAATATACTGTATTTTCCTGTTGTTCGCGAATAACTGTCAATTTTCCAATCGTTTATATTTCAAATTTTATATATAATTTGACGTGTATAAACATTTATAATCAGCGCAGTGTGAAATGCAATACTTATGAAGATCTACGGGACGGAACAACTACAAGTTGGATTTCAGAAATAGGACTGATCGTAATCAACAAAAGAAACTTGCCAACGTTCGTCAGGGGAGAATGAAGTTCCATTCTAGACTTAACCCTAGCAACAGAAAACACCTCTCGTAAAATGGGAAGTGCTGAACGAGGAGACATTAAGCCTACATTGAGATATCACCTTCCAGATTGGCATGTGAGTGGAGTCACCCAATTAAATATCTTTTTTTGGATGGATAATAAATCGCCTGGAGAACGGCATTTTCAACTCAGTCGTGTCATTAGCGCAATCAAGACAGATAGAAAAAGCAGATCACTTGATGGACATTATACAATGAGCATGTAACAGATCGATGCCAAGAAAGATCCGCAGACCTAATAGATTCCCAGTTTACTGGTCGGCGGGAAACATACACAAAGAGAAACCTTCCAAGCCACATCAGGGAGATAAAACGTTTGCTGTCGAAGACTTCAAAACAGGAACTACAACGTGCTATAAAGACTTCAAAAAACAGATTCGATGATGCTATATGGAGAAAGGGTTATTCAATAGCGGTCAAAGCATTATGCATGGCTACAAAATTGCAAGTTATCCCAATTGAGCGTAGAATAGAATACATCACACGTACACTCTTCCACCGGCAAGCCAGAGGACGGAGTGATGAGCAACTGTCTCAAACTCCGGCTTCCCTTTTCAGAAAGGACGAGCTGATCAGTGCGGCTAGTAAACTCAAAGCCGGAAAAGCACCAGGAACAGACGCGATTCCAGTTGAAATAATAAAGTACGAGTATGCGGTGGATGAAGTACCTAAGTACCTGGAGTATTCTTGAAAATTGCGAATAAAGCTCTTCAGTCAAGTTGTTTTCCAAATAGATAGAAACAGGCAGACCTAGCACTGCCGCCAAAGAAAGGTAAGCCTTTCTTTAGATCAACCATATGGCGATAAGCTTATTAGATGCTGCTGGTAAACTTCTCGAACTTACGATGCTAGTACGTCTGTTAAGAGACACTCCAATGGCGACATTTCATCGACGCAATTTGGGTTTCAATTAGAAGCTATAAACGAAATAATAAAAATAGCAAGAGAGGCTGCGGTAGTAGTGAATCAAAAAACAAAGCTTTGTGCTGTGATAGCACTTGACATAAAAAATGCCTTCAACACAGCGCCAAGGCAATACATCATTAATGAACTGAAGAGAATAGGAGTGGAGCAGCACATGCTTCACCTGATTGTGAGCTACCTACAAGATCGCAGCGTAAGGCAGAAGAGTTCGCCTAAAGCACCACAGCACCTCAGTTACCAGTGCCTCAAGGTTCTATTCTGGGACCAACTCTATGGAATGTCCTTTACAATGGCACCCTAGAACTGGTTCTTACTGATAACGTAACTACCATCGATCTCGCCGTGACAGTTGTGGCGCAAGATTTAGAGGAATTGGTGGAAAGATCCAACTGAGCTGTAAGAGAAATTAGTAGCTGGCTTAAGGACAGGTCCCTGAAGCTGAAAGCTACAAAAACAGAGGCAATTCTTTTAACGCGAAGGCGAAATCTACCCCAGATAACTTTTCTGGTAGAAGTAGTCCCACAAAAAGTCATCAAATTTAATCTAAATCAGAAAAAGTTGTAACCCCGGCGGCAGCTCTATCAAGATTAATTTCAAACGTGGGAGGACCGCGTTCTAGTAAGAGACGTGCTCTATATGCAGCACCAGATGGGTAGATGAAAGGCAATTTACCTCCAATGACATAGGAGAACTGACAACCCCTGAAATTATAGTTTCCCTGATGCTAATAAACGAAGCAGCTTGGCACAATGTTGCTGCCTTTGTTACGAATTTACTAACAAGAAAACGGAGCGAAATGGCTGAACACCTTTCTGATATCATTAGAACATTAGTTAAGACTGCCGTAAGATACGACAACCACAGCAGCGAAGTAATAGCTAACATGGTTCCGCTGCTGTGCGGAAAGGAGGCAGCAGTAGAGGTTTTTTACTGGGTAGGAGCCCTAGTCACCGTAAAGAACGGTGCATGCAACGAATATCAAGGAAAAACGTAAGACCATCATGTATTTCCTCTGTACACACAAAAAATCACTTGCTTTGTAAAATTTTAATACAGGGCATTACACGTGAAGCGGACAGCGAAAAGGTGAGGTTTTGAAATTTGTTCATATTGGGCCTATCTGAACATCTAGTAGGTTTAAAAAACGTTATTTTTTTCGTGGCAGTTCATTTGCTAAGTTACGGCCTTCGAAAGAGAAGCAGTATTTGAAATTGGGGTATGAAACAACGCTATATATAGGAAATTTTCTGTACTTTTTGATAAGTAAAACAAATTCCAAATTCAAAAACAACTTAAGGTGCTAAACCGAAAGTAAATATTTCAAACCAAAATTTGGACAACTCCGCATTTTTTCATTTTCGATTCTTTTTTACTCCAAAATATTGCCTAAAGTATGTTGAAAATATAAAAGAAAAATATTTTTTGAACAATGTAGTATTACAAAAATTTCTGCCAAATGAAAGTATATTTAAAATTATTAGTAGATCTTAAAAATACTCGTATAGTAGCGTATTAATGCGATACATATCTTGCAAACCAGTCGACATAAGCAAGCGCCTAACCTCATACTCAATGCAACATTTATGTACATAAAAATACTTCTTAGTGAATGCGCGTCCCATTTTAAAACTTCTAATGTATTTTAAACACACTTTAGGTTACATTTTGGAGTAAAAAAAAATGAGGATAAAAGTGGTCGAACTTACTCTGATTATTGCTTAAAGGGTTTACTTCAGGTTTTGCACACTATTTTTTTTCAATTTCAATATTTAAGAAAATCGTATAAAAATAAATATGCTTTCATGTTATATATATAAAATGATTAATAGAGCTGAAAATACTCATAGTGTAGCCTATTAATGCAATATCTCGCAAACCAGTTGACCTAAACAAGCGCGTAGTCATACCCAGGGCGACATGTAAGTAGGTACATAAAAATACGCACGTCCTTAATTAAAACGCATACCATTTCAAAACTTCAGATATATTTTAAACACACTTTTGGCTATATTTTAAAGTTCATAAACTGAAAACTAAAAAAATGCGACGTTGCCCAAATTTTGGTTAGAAATGTTTCCTTTCGGTTTAGCACCTTAAGTTTTCTTTTGAATTTGAAATTTGTTTTATTTTTCCAAAAAGAACAGATAGTTTGCTAAATAAAACGTTATGTTTCATATCCGAATATAATAATTTTCAATTCGAAAAAATTCTTCGAGGAAATCCAAATTTCAAATAAGCCCGTAACTTAAGAAGTGAACGTGCCACGAAAAAAAAAAACTAATGTTTTCTGTTCTACACCCACTATGTAGATGTATAAACAGACCCAATATGAACAAATTTCAAAACCTCATTTCGCTGTCCACGTGAAATGCCCCCGCCCTCATAGCCACCCTCACTCGCACTGCTGGGACGAATTCAACGACACCCCATATATGTCAAAATCCATCAAGCCGTTTGGCCTGTATGTAGCCCAAGAAATATAATTTTTTGGAAACATAGATACATATGTTACAAACCCACACGCGAAAAACATTACCCTCCTTCTGAGACAGTCGAGTTATAAGAGGGTCGTTTTTTCATTTTGTTTTTTTCAAATAATACATTTTTTTTGTAGTCTATCATCGCGGCCGGTCCGTCTGTCATACCGGGTACAAGTACACAAATTTTGAAGGGTTGCTGTAAGCAAATGGAACTTTGATTCGAGTTTTTTGGAGGAATGCCTTTAAAATGAGGTATATTGGAAAGTCTATATGTTAATTTTATGCGCTTCTTGATTAGCGATGCTTTTAGATTTAATTTTTGAGGCAAGGTACTGTAATCGCGAAAAATTTCGAAAATGAGATATGTATTTTGGATTTCTGGTGGTATGTCTGTCAGCTAATCCTTGGCTAGTCTATAACTTGGAAAGTACTGCTCGGATTTGGATGAAATTTTACACAAGCTTACTACTGTGCCAAGGACGAAAAAGCTTTGCAATTTTTGAAAATCGGTACAGTGACGGCGGAGAAAAAGGCAGAAAACGAAAAAACAAAAATAGCCCAAACTTCGTTTTTTGACGTTTGAGAGCATTCTGACCATTTAAAAAAAATAGATGTAAAAGATAGGGGGTGGGGCGGTGGTATATATCAGTTTATTTATGCTATTATACTTATACGCTACCAGTCCCGATAATCCTACGCACCCATTAGCCATCATAGGTTTCCCCCAAAAGTTAGAATGATAGAGAAATATTTTCGTCATTCTGGGCTCAGCGTCCAACGTAACTATCTGCTTGATTGTCTTGCTCGGACTGCGGCGAAGCGGCGGTGCTTCGATTGGGACTGTCGCGTCTGACCATGATACTATGACTGAGAAGATAAACCCACGCGCATGCGATCAGGTTATCTCTCTCGCACACGTGACGTCACTCGGAGACCCAAATCCCCTGGGAAGTTCAGTTTTATATGGCACTTTAGCTTGTTTAATGTTTATGCTTTGTTTAATTAGTTTGTGATCTGCTGGTGTGGCTAAAATTTTGTGAAAAACAGTTAATCTAACATTGAACTATGGTGTACTGTGCAGTGGTGGGTTGTAAAAACAACAACAAAAAGAAAAGCAGATACTTTTCAACCTGCAGTTTCTTCCGCTTTCCTAAACACAAACAAGTTCGCAAAGAATGGGTTCTGAAGTGTTATCAGCAACACACATTCAATACTGAAACTGCAAGAATTTGTTCGAACCATTTTGTGGAAAGCGATTATCGTCTAAAGGAGAAACTGTTGGGTTTACCTGAAAATAAATGGAAGTTGAAAAGCGATGCAATACCCTCTGTTCATTTGATCAAATCACCAAAGGCTGAGACTCCTCGCACTAGGAGAATAAGACAAAGGTTGAATAGGGAGCTTGTACAATCAATCGATCAACAACTAGAGGTAGAAATGGCAGAAGTACAAAGTGAAAGTGAGGGAGACAAAGAGAACATTCCTGAGAAAAATAGAACTGTATCCACTCAAACAAGGTAAAAAATGAATAAATTATATAATAAATAATATAATCATGAGAATATATATACAATCATCTAAATATCTATTTTATTTTAGTAAATGTGATGTTGATCAACACATCACAAGTCTTGAAGTTGAAATTGCAAAATTGAAGCAGTTACTTCAAAGAGAAATGGAAGAAAAGGAAAAAATTTCAAAAGTTTTCACTGAAGGGCAACTTCGTAAGCTGAAATCAACCAAGGAAATCCAGTGGAGTGTTGGAGATGTAGCTTCAGCTATTTCCTTATATGCAGGTGGTCCCAGGTCATACCGCTTACTCAGAAAAAGGGGTTATCCTCTTCCTGCAGTATCCACTTTGAGAAGATGGGCTAGTAAAATTAATATTGAACCAGGTATTTAGATAGATAGATAGGTATAGATTTGTATTGGTCATTTGTCTAGGTATACTTGAAAACATACTTTGTTAACAATTGTGCAACTATGATTGCTTCCATGAAGAGTAAAACCATCAGCGTTGCTTTTTACAAATTATAGATATTTGAATATGTAATTTGATGAAAACATTCTAGGATCTGCATCAGTGTGAGTGTTCTTCAGAGCTTTCTCATCCCATGTTTAATGTCATTTTTTAGTCATTCAGCATTGTTGATTGTTTATTAATTTTTATGATTAATATTATGCATGTAACTAAGATTGAATAACATATAACTACTTCAATTGTTTCAGGTATACTTAACACAGTACTGACACTGATAAAAGACACAGCTCTGCCAATGATGGAAAAAGCATGTGTCCTACTCTTTGATGAAATGAAAATTCAAAGCTGTTATGAATATGATAAGAAGAGTGACAGAACCTTAGGACCCAGTAAATATGTGCAAGTTGTCATGGCTCGTGGAATATGTGGAAGGTGGAAGCAGCCCATATTTTATGATTATGACAGGAAAATAACGAAGGATCTTTTGTTTAAAATCATTTCCAAATTAGAAAATCTGGGATACCCAGTTTATGCAATTAATTCCGATTTAGGAGGTAGTAACAGGGGACTATGGAAATCCTTGAATATAACAGAAGAAAGAACATGGTTCACAAATCCTGTAAGCCAAAAAAGAGTACATGTGTTTGCAGATGCACCACACATGATTAAACTATTGCGAAAACACTTTCTTGATGATGGTTTTATTATGAATGGAAAGATTATAACCTCTAAACCAATTGTAGATTTACTCCAAAATACACAAAATTTAGACTTA